TCTATGTAAGGTGTTATTTCTATAACCTCTTTATTAAGAAATGCTATCTTCTTTTGTAAATTTTCTTCCATATCTGCTTTGAATGTTTCATATGCAGCAGCATTTCTATCAAAAATAGGTTTTATTGCAGTGAGCCAGTTCACTGTACGAGTGTTCGAGTCGACGTGCTCCTTTGTTAAAGAAGTCATTTCTAAAAGGTTTGATATGATATTGATTTGTTTCATTATTCTCTCTTTTAAAGCTTCGACCAACACAGTCTTGGCATAAAGAATATATACACCCTGTTCTATTAATTCAGCGGCATTTTTGGGTTCCTTTAAAGCTTTTTCAGCAATTTGTTCAAATTCTGCACATATGCTGTCATTTTCATTCATATGAGCTTTAACCAACCCATCGATAATATCGTTTATAAATTCATTAGCTTTTAGTTTTAAACCAGTAACCATTTCTAATTGGCCTACTACAGCACAATTAAAATATTCATTTTCAAGGGTAGCAGTAATATTAGAGTCGATTGTTTGGAAATACTTGATCTTGTTGCGAGCGTGTTCAAAATCATCTGTTTCATTTATGAATTGAAGTAAGGCGGCCTTTGCGGGTTGACCATAAAGCATATCGTACTTCTTCCTTAATTCATCTAGATACGCAAACAATGGTAAATATACTTCCTCCAGTCGTGCTTGTAGTCGCTGGTGGCCGTTTTTGCGCAACCACTCATTGTACACAACAGGCAGAGCGTCATTCAAATATGGAATTCTAAGATATTCCTCTATAGGCATAAGTCTTTGTGCAATGTTAGAAATAGCATCAGCAATATTGTGATAAACTTTAAAAAGAGTATTAAGTGTAGGCTGATAATAAAATTCTCCATCGAAACATAACTCTAAACGTAAAATAGGAACACATTCAGGATCATCAAGGTCATCTATTATAGCATTAATCGAATGACGCATCAGTTCTTGTATTTGAATCGATATCATTTTTGTAGCGCAACTAACAAATTCTGGAATCTTCTTCGGGCGCATATTTTTTAAACATCTAGGATTTTTCATCCATTTAATTAATACATTATACCACGTACTTGAGACAAGATAGTCAGCACGTTTAATTTCCTCCATTATTTTCATCTCGAACTCTTCTAAATGTATTGCCCCTTTCATACGGTAATTCTTTAGTTTGATTATACAATGCGGGAACATTTTTTCGGCTGATTGAAGTATAAGCCTTACAAATGGATGTAAGCTTAACGCTTCAGTTTGTATTTTCTTTCTATGTTTTAACATTTTTTCGTAGTGTTCAGTTTTGCCTTTAAATTTAAAATATGGTTCTCGATACCGCTCCCGAGAAACGCCAGGCACGTCACGAATGATAGTTTTAACTGCAAATTCATGTAATTTTTTATCCCATTCAATTTTGCTTTCATTAATCAGGTCTTCGGTAAGAGCGGGGAAAGCATTGCGCAGTTTGGAAGGTATCAGGCTTCTAATCTTCCTTTCCCATGACTTGAGCATCGGCGGTGGTTTAATGTTTTTAGCACATTCTCGTAACGCGGCAATGTGTCGGTCCTCGGATATCTCAAGGAAGTCTCTCTCCCGGCGCTGCACGGGCGGACGAGCGATCTTAACTTTCTGCTCGGTAGCTTTCGCTTCCAATAATTTGCGAAACTTTGCTTGCTTGTCCTAAAAGGGAAAAACGCCGATATATTTTGTCTAAACGGATACTCAATAAATCTACATAATTGTACAAATATTTTTAAGAGATCACAAAAATCAAAAAAGTGTACATGGAAAGTATGTGCCAAATATGCCTCGCGTTTGCGCTAGTTTTGGCTATGAACCCAAGATATATTTCAATTCAAGCTTAGCACAAGAAACATCATCTAAGTTAATTTAATTATATATAAAACCTAAAAACTAGCGCTAAACGACGATCCCAGCCGATGATCGTTACATATTTTAGTTGTGGCAGAACGTTTCCCCTATATTTAAATAAATATCAAGAAAAGCAGTACCTTAATTCGATTGTAAGGTGGTAAAGGTGTAAAAGGTAAGTTGTCCATCATGTGTACATCTGGTATCGGGGGCAAGGGCGGCACTCGGCAACCGTTCTTCGTCTGCAAAAGCTTTCGTAGATCTCTTTCCTCCATTTTTGTCTTCTATACAATAAACACTGCAAATAACAAAATCTTCACCAGGGTCACGTATTAAACGTATAAACTAAATCCATATTATTTAAGTATGAAATCCTTCCTTGGTGTAGAAATATAAAATGATCAAACAAAAACTGTTGTCACGGTAACTTATTGTCTATCGATTTGTAAATAAAAATTCAATCTGTCATAATATATTGCTGGCTGACAACGAACATGATAAAAAAATAAAAATACTTACGCCATTGAACCATACGTAGTAGGCAGAATACGAAATTGTATTGTACGCGGCCATGAAATATTTTTTATAAGTAAAGTCGACCAAAATTTTTATTCTTAACAAGTAATAATCAAACTATTGAGTTGCCGGAAAAATAAATTAAGTTTATATGGAAGCATAACACATATTGGCGGAGAAATTCAAAGATAGTAAAGTCAACCAACCCGAAATAGACCAGCATGGTTGACTATGACCTAGTCACCCTGACTTAGGGTAGGCTCTGAGCCCATCATTGGTAACATATAGTGAGCTGATGATAATAAATTTTGGAAATTAAATTATAAGTCAATATTGGTCAGTTTGAGGTAATTGTGTTAGGTTTATGGCTAAATAAAATATATAGAATAAAAAAAATAGTTTTCAATGAAACTCGTTGCATTGTCATTGTAATGCATATGAAGGTTATATATTTTATTTTTAAATAAAAGACAAATAAAACATAAGATGTGGCCTGTATTCGCACAAACATTACCAATGTATATTTTACATAACATTTGCTTAATTAAATATTTACAATACATGTAAATGATATTAGCTTCTCGTAACACGACACTGCGCCATACTTCTTGAGTCAGATCGATTGAAATTCGATGATAATAAGATCTAATTATTCAGGACACAAAGTAGAATCACATTAACACTACAATACAAGTAGACTGAAATGTATAGCAGATTCTTGACTGTGTATATGTATGGTACTTACCGCAAAAATCAGCGAAGTTATAGTTATTTTTAAAGTTTAAGTAACAACTCTGAGTATGAAAGTTAATTTTGATGTCACTTTATGCTCTTTTATTATTGTCGTCAATACGATCGATAAGCGATTATATTTATTGATACGTGTGAATTCTCGCAAATGCGGTAGTTTTTGTCGACAAAATTGATTTCTACTTTAGTGTCTTGAATTTATTTTTACTTTTGAATGACTTATAATTATGGCAGGATATACATTTATTTATGATTTCGAGAATGAAATTAATTTACTTAAGAATTTTCATCAAAATTTTTAACTACAATTTTTTTTTTGCTGTTAGCCTCATATAAAATAAATAAAACAGTATAATACGGTTAAATTACAAATGTATCACTTTTTACTTATGATACAGTCAGTAAAAAAATTTAGTATTATTTTACATGTAAATATATTTCTATATAAATTGTATGATATTTTAACATTTGTCCCATTTAATAAATCTTACGTTTAACACGTTGTTAGAGAGTAAAAAAAAAATTAAGTAATTTTTTATTTCAGTAAACACAAACTCATTATATAGCATATAGAAATATTTAAGAAAAATATTTCAAAAAAAGTTATTTGAAAATGATATGAAAAAGACAGTTGCAATTCTTTAGATTTGTAAATTTTTAATAAAGACAACTTCATTGAAATCATTATTTTCGACATTAAGAGTTAGTTAGAATTATTTAGTGCTTATAAAAAAACAATATCACATAGTATAAGGAATGTAAAGTTTATAAATTTTTTTGGTATTTTTCGTAATAAAGAACGAGACAAAATATTTTTTTTTTACATAAAATACCGGGGATTTCATTTTATGTTTCCTGATTACCACAGATACACTTAAAATAATAAATGAGTGTTTTCAATACACGCGGAAAGAATTTTCTACTACTTATCATTTCACACTGCCGAAACATCTGTACCAAAAAATATAACCTATTCAGTTTATGAGGATAATAGCTTTGAAGTATTTAAAAGAAAGATTAAGCAGTTTGGTTATTTAGTTTTCCATATATGTATATTATTAAGTTTTTCCATCTGTCAAATAAGCCTACGACATTGTGATGAACCGATTTACAAGGAGATATCTTCATTTTCAACGTTATTTGGATTTGGATTATTTTTTTGCACTTTTACACTCAGTCTTTATTCGATGTTACACTTTTATCAAAACAAATGGCACTCTAATGGACATGCATTGAACACTTACTAAAGTAAGTACACGCCATTTAGGAACAATACCAAGTACCCACATTAAAAAAAATTAAACATATTATAAAAATATTTTATGTATTAAACCTATATAAAGCAGTGGCCCATTTGTACATAATTATGCTTATATACATTGTCTAGCATAAAACGAGTATGCATTTTGAATATAAGATCTAATTTTCATTTAGCCTCTGGCCGTGAGATGTCGCTCTACACGCGTTTTGTATTTCCACAGGCGCTTAGTGGAAATGGTCGCTTAGTTCTTTAATAGCATAGCCAAATAACACAATTAAAAAGAAACCCATATTACTTATTACCCTAACGATTATATGCTTATACAAAAATAAACATACCAATTTGGGTATTTGATTATCCAGTAACAACATCTTAGCACAAGATTACAGATTAAAAATAACACTTACAGCTCTTAATATAACAGTATTTTATTATTATACATAATAATATAATCTTTGATATAGGACCTATAAAGAGCCACTAACTTGCCTTAATCTTTATAAAAAAAAACTGGAATTACTTCACGTAAAATATTTAACTTAACCAAATTCGATTTGAAAAAAATTATAGAGAAGAATAAAATCGAAAATTGTTTTTGTTTAAATTTAATTCAGATCCCTTTACGATATGTTTAGTAAGTTTAAAAAATATACATATAAAATGCGTATTCGAACAAATCTAGTACAAATTTTTCACAAAATTAATAATCGAGTATCAATAGTAGTATCAATACCCAAATGTATTAAAAAAAAGCAAAAACCTTATGCAAAAAGTAAAGGCAAGTCAGTAATTTCGAGTTCATAAGGTAGGAGATTGCCAATTAAGCCCTGAACACATTGGGCTTGTTGTTGGGTCATACATCAGCACGAAGCAGTCTCTCATCTGCTGATTGCTCCTCGTCTTCTGATCCTGATTTCTCTTTCTTTATTGATTGATATCGTACCTGTTTAAATATGTACCGTTTAAGATTGCCCCGAATTATATTGACCATAAAAAAAGTCGAGAATATTTGAAAAATTTATTTCAAATAAATTTAATTGAAAGTCATAACTGATATTCAAATTTAATATAAATAAAGTTAATTTGTAACGACATTATTTATCGCTAATAATTAACAGTAGCATAAAAATAACATGAAATATGTTCATAATAAAATAAAATTGGTGCAACTCATTAGTACAATATGTCTATCTCACTCTATTTCTATTTTTATTTCTATCTCACTCACTCTCTTTCTTTGGGGAAAAGAGATAGCAATAGTTTTCGAATACAACTGTCTCTCAATTTGAAATTTAGCAATACAAAGGACTGACTAAGAATAGGTGTCTTTGTGTCGTAATAAAATGGCTTCAGTAAATTCTAATAGAATTTATCTAAGTTTATCTGAGAACAGGTCAAGGAGTTGAAACTTGTTAACATAATTATATATGATAATAGTTACATACCTTAGTCTTTATCTTGGAACTCACTCCTCTCGGATGATACATTAGGAAATTATCCGTAACCCAGAATATTAAAATCTGTAAAAAAAAAAGTAGGCATTATATATACAACAAATTTAGTGTTATTTTTTATTTATTTACAACTAAATATATAAAATTATTACATGTTGCCCGCCACTCTGAATAAGAAAAACTAAATTAGTAGCCTATTTGTTCTTCCAGAGTACTTCTACATCTATGCGAAATTTCAACAAGGTCAGTCTAACCGTTTTGAAGCTATCTTCTAACAAACATCTATCCATCCTTTCATCTATTTAAATTTTCACATTTATAATATTAGTATTACAATTTATACTAACTTGTTTAAATGCTTTTACATATAAGATAAAAAAAGTTATATGATCATGAAGCGATTCCATAACGAACTTAAAAAATGTATGGAACTGACGCGCTTTTTTTTTAACTTATGTACTATGTCTAACCTCGGGGATGTAACATATACATATATGACTTTTATATGTTGTTCTAACTTCGTTGTGTACAACAAATAAAAACTTACATTGACAAAGAATGGAATGATGAGCATAACAACAGCGAGCTCCAAACGTGGATCGGAGACTGGCGAGAGTCGAAGTGTTGAGAGTACGGCCACCACGGGCGGCAGTCGAAGTACTAAAGCTAGTACGGATTTGGCAAATGTCGCCAATGCTGCGTATAGAATACACTGGCATATCCAAGCTGCACACATTGGGGGTTTGCCTGGCAAGAACAATAATAAATTTAAAAATGAAAAAATAACTTCTTTTTAATCTAAACCAGTGGTTCCCAAACTTATTTTGTCTACTGCCCACTTTGAGAATAAATTTTTTTTTAGCGGCCCCATATTTTCACATATTTAAAAACCACTATAACTTCAAATTAAATTAATTAATTATTGTGACTATGTATATTAATAGAGAATTCTAAACGAAACTTTTACTATAACCCGCAACTTGAGACCTGCAGCGCCCACAAGGGGGTGTTATCGCCCACTTTGGAAAAGACTGATCTAAACTAAGGGTGCTTGCTTAATGAGTCTGAACACAGGAGTACAAGAAAGAATGAAACAGAGTCTCAATCACAGTCATGGAGTAACTGATCACTAGTACATACAATTAAGATAATTATTTACTCACCATATTCTCCAAAATTAATTAGCGGAATATCATAAGTCCTGGCACAATACTGAGCCAATCTTATTCCAGCCCATATTATAAGTAAACCTAATGTTGAGTCCAACATAAAGTTTACTATATACCTGTAAGGATAAAATATTTTATACAATTGATTACTTATGTAAAATGGATAAACTGGATATGGATATATTATACATATCAGTTTAATGCAAGTAAATAAAGTTAAGAATTATTAATTTATACATATTTATAAAATTAGTGTCTGTGTGTAATATCAAATAAAACCTTATATTTGTAAACATGATGTATAATTATAACTGATAATTAAAATCGAATTTTAAAAATTTTTGCCTGTTTTTAATCCTGTGCTAACTAAGTTGTAGGCGATTTCAAGTGTTACACAAAAGTTATTAATATTTGCACATTATTTATGCATGACAAAATATTCAAAGTTCAATGAAGGATAAATTCAACAAAACATCTGATCATCAAATGTGGATTATAATTTTATTTTAAGTTTGTAATATTATATTGTACTAATATCTTAATAAAATTATTAATAAAAAAGTTTCTATAGATGGACAATTTTATAGATGTTTCTTACTATACAATCTTGGAACAGTTGAACGTTTCTACATGAAATTAGAAAAAGGATTGTAGTCGATAATTTCACATGACCAAATTCTTGGGCAATAGTTTTTTTTACTTCATTTTGTATTGTATTCTTACCATGTGCATGGATTTCCTGTAAGGTGCGGTGACAACCACACATTAGCTGCATGTATGATGAGGGCACCTAAACCTTGCTTTGATGTATCATAAAACCAAATCAACCAAGGTCTTCTAGCATAGCGTGGCTCACAGAATCTTTTACCTACAAAAACATAATTTATTAACAACACAAAATCAATGTGATGAAAACACATATTATTCAAGTTTACTAACAAAAGTCTTTGTATTTTACAGATAATGGTTAATGTAGTTTAGGTCTTTTCAAATAAAGTTAAAAGTTTTTTGAAATAACTGTATAATGTTAATTTCAGCCAATTTACATTACTAAATACATTTTTAAAGCACTCTAAAGTATTTGAATCAAGAAAATTGAGCAAAGTTAGGAGTTCAAGATTTTGACATTGGCAATATATTGAACTTCGCAACAAGTAAAGGACAAAAGTGTCGCAATCTTACCAATTAAGCATGTAAAAGCCAAAACAGCAAGCAAAAACTGCATAAACCATCCATAGGTATCTGTTAGTGCGTCTTTAGAGCAATGAAGCTCCGACCAATAAATATAATCGGAACTGTTATTCATTTTTAATTTATTATTAAAATTTCGATGTAAAAAATCAGGATATTTTTACACAACTAGAAAATTACACATATTTACACCAACTACTAAGAACTTCACATAAAAATATGTACGGTACAAATTAAATGAACGGCATTTTCTTTAACTCCCGAATTATAAAAATTGTAAATTCGCAATTTAATTTTAACAGCTGACATTGACATTTGAAGTTTGGACATTTGACAAACATTAACACATTATTTGTGCTTATAATTTGAGCAAGGCATGAACCCTCCACTTTTCTCCGTACGGCAGAAAATATATAGGAAATAAATAAATAAATAGTAGTTGTGTTTTGATTTAGGCAAATTTTTAATTCTATGTAATATACGAATTTTACTCGCAGCTTATTTAAAACTTACCGTTTTTCTCTAAAAAAAAATACATTTAGATACTACTACTTTTTGTTTAATTTTTTAAACGTTTGACCGCCGTGCCAATAAAAGAGTATGTTTTATCTTTTAATATGCATAACTGCTTCAGGTATAATTATTTTCAAGTTTTTTTTTCAAGCATTTCAAATTCTTATTTTTGGTATCGTCTGCATACAGCGTTCGATAAAAGGATTGACATATGTTTAAGCTAAAATTTTATTGAAACGTATTACGTTATTAAGTATTTATGATCAGCTCCTTAAAGTCCATCTTAAGACCCATCACCAAATCCAACAAAGCTTCTTATTAGGAATTAGCAGTAATCTTTTTGTTTTAATATACATTTAATTTTAAAGGGATTTCCATTTCACATGGGGTTTTAAGTATCTAAACTCCAAAATCTATTTGTTAATGTGTAATAAAAATGTACTTATATTTTGGGAATTAAATTTAATACCTTTATGCTCATGAACTTCTCAAAAATAATTTTATTGTTATTTTAAAATTATTTTTAGGGCAATTTAATTATAACTTTCAACATTCAAAATTACCAAAAAAAACATTGTTTTTCGTGCATTCTTTTTGGTACCTTTTCTACCACTTGCTACCGTTGCCATTTTCCTCCCATTGCCGCCATTTTTATTATTTTGTGAATGTGAATCATAAATCTATATCTAGTATATATGATATTTATTACCGTAAACTGAAAAAAACAATTTAATAATTGTTTAAACAAAAGAAGCAGGATACTATTAATATTCTTGGTAAGTATTATTTTTAAATTGTACTTTTAAAGCGTTTTACTTTATAAGTTTGTTTTAATTTACGTCAAGGTATTGATTTATTTGAACCGGCTTTGTAGTGCTTATTATGGTTATGTTTCGGGTAAGATTCTACAGTGTCTTATAAAATCATAACTTGTTCACGAAACAAAATATATAACGTTAACATTTTGTTGGTTATGTTGTTCTGTACGTATTACAAAGATACTAAAACATGTTTATGGTTTTTACATTACTATAGGTATATAGTTTTGTTTTAATGTAAAATGTACTAACTTCTACGTTTATATGTGGAACTTTAATAAAATATTTTAATGTATTTACCCTCAAATTAAACAGAACTTGCATTTTAATCTTTCTACTATAATTACAAGTATGTTACAACAACTGAAAATTTAAACAAATGTTATAAAACATTAGTATTCCCTGTGTCATACTTAATTGTCATATAATGTTAATTAGCTATGCGCTTTTACTAGCAAGTGCAAATCTTCTTTTTGTTAGAAATTATCAATTTGTGAAGCTGGTAGCAATTAGTTTCATATATCTTATCTCTGTTATTCTCTATTTATAGCTAATGTAATTTTTAGAAATATTATTTTAATATGTACATAATTTTAAAAAGTTGATTGAGCAAAAATATTGAATTGATTCGATTATTCTTCAAATATGACTTACATAACATTTGTGTTTGTTTTTCTATTAACAGCACCATTATGAATAACTGAATCCACTGACATTAATGACTTTAAAATTTAATAATATGAACTATACTTAAGACATATCTATCATAGTTTGCTAGTAGTATAATTAGCCTAGTTATAATTATAGCAATTATATTGGTATTTAATTTGTATTTAGCTTAGTCAAAGAAAGAAATTATCTGCTCATACCAAGGGGTGACCCTAAATTAGGGATGATTACGCCTCTATCAACCACATTGGTCTAGAGCGAATTGGTCGATTCATACACATCCAAAAATTTGTCTATGGATATGTGCAGGTTTTCTCAAAATGTTTTCCTTCATACCACAAACATGGGATAAATTCACATATGTATTAAAATCAAAATATGCAGTGTTATATGTAGGTGATTGTTAAACGGGATCTCAATGCACTACTGAACACAATGACATATAGTATAAAAAGCTATAGTAGTAATAATTATAGAAATGCATAAACCATTTTATAAATTTTATTTCAATAATCCATCAAACAAAAAACGTTGTCTGTGGGGACAATAAATACTGTCGCGTTATTTATTGGTTCGCGTGCGTTCATCGCACTTATGACTGCTTTTACGGTGTCCGCCATTTAATTTGAGCTTACATGCAATACACACCACATGGCCATTATGTGCGGGCTATTGGAGAAAAAGTGGAGTCTAATTGCCGCCTCATCCCTTTCCCCGTAGGGGGTGGACGGGAGGTCCCAACAGCTCACCGGAATCGAAAGTAGAACGAAATAATTATAGGTGGTGGGTATGTGGGGTGAGCGATGGTGGCCGTTCCCGCGCACCTAGGCCGACCGACAACAAACCGTCGCGGGGCAACTACTCATGACATATGCATGAGAGTGGCTCCGGCTAAGCCGAAGCTTGAATACACAAGGACGGGGAAATTACCAGAGACGAATATATAACATAGACAAGATGTCTCGCCTCCTGCGCCTGCCGTGCGCCGCGGCCCCGCTCAATTACCATCACGAAATGTCCGATGCTTTTCCAGTTGGAACTATTTTTGCCGACTAACCACCACCACGGTCTTCATAAGTCATGAAGACCACCCCACAGTGGTGCATCATTGTAAATTCACTTTAATTCTTTACCTATCACGCAAATCTTGTACCATTATGTTTAGTTACTTGTGTCCCTATGTATCTATATAGCACAGACTATATGAATATTTCTAGTTCTAGTTATATATCCGTAATAAACAATTTACACATTTTATTTTTAAATATGTAGATAATATTTCTTGAAGAACAGCAAATCCTTTTAGTTAATCACATTGAAGCGACGCAAAAACTTCTTATTTGGTAACTTTAAAGAAACAAGATTGCAAAAAATATTGCAACTTTACCGCCAACTGATTTCAATTTAATAAAAAAATAAATTGTTGCAAAAATTATTAACTAACAATAATTTGAATTTCTTGCGTCTTATATCCATTTATCCATATCCCTTAAAACTTGAATAAAGATTTACATGAAATTCAAGAAAATATAAAACGAATGATAAGTACGTGATAGGAATATTATATGATACACAAGTATCATTAGTTCAATGCCCGATACATCGCCGTGAAGAAGTTATGATCGATAGAGCCATCAAATATTCACGCGGCAGCGACTACCAAGGAAACGGAATAGTTAACTGTTGTCAGAAAGGCCACGAGGGGTGAAAATATCCCCCTTTATCCTAATTGCATAACTGCCTCATCAAATGGAAAAACTAATCTGGAAATTGTCTGATATTAATGAGCTGTTGACCTGAAGTATGGCCCAATAAAGGATCGTTTTGTACATGTGTGTTTCTTCTAAGAATCCTTATGAAGCCGATTAGTTTATCTCATTTAATCGCTCTATAAGTATTGTTTATACAAACAGTATAACTCAAAGGCGTCTTCTGTCCTTTATAGAAATCAATTTTTAATTGAATTTATATATCTCTATTACCATGTTTCCTTTTGGGAAACAATACGCAACAACTTTGTACGGATTACTGAGATTTGCGATTCGCAGCGAGAGCTATGCAACAAGAGGCGTCATCATCACATTGCGTTATCCCACTCTATGTGTGGTTGGCGCACCGGGTTTTCGTCCTCTCCATCGGTACTTAGTCTATACAAATATAATCAATGAAAAATTTGAATTTATTTTATATTCACTGAAGAAAAAGCAATATTTCTTAAATAAATACGGAGCTACTTAGACGACGTAATAGCAGGCGCGTATGTTACCGACTGTAGGCTTTACTGCTATAGGCTCACATTCTTTGTGGATAGCAAGCTTTATTCGGCCGAAATATAATCTCATATCGATGTACTTTTATGCTCTTAGATAATTAATTGGTTATAGTTTTCTTTTTATATTTCCGTGATACTTCTAATATCATCTAAAATGTATTTCCAATCCTTTGTGCAATTTATCTGACCGACTATTATGGTTTCCATTATTAATATACATTTTCCTTTATGACCCATAACGGTAAATAGGAAGATATCGTAGACTCTTGTACATTGTATGTTGTATACTTTATTTATCGTAATTAAAGTAGTCATAAGGACTTCTAATTTTCTTTATTGCTTTAATAACTATGGGAGCTTGTTATTTATCATCACGAACATCATTGAATTATTATTTGTTTGTCAGTCTCATATAAATAAATAAATTGCTATTTAAAAAAATATTAGCTCAACAGCACAAGAACAAATGTTATAAGTTTTTTTTAATCAGGTTTCACAATATAATACAATACAATTCACGAAACGAAGTTAAATGTACTAATATTATAAATGTAAATGGTTGGATAGATGGATGTTTGTTTGTGAGAAGGTATCTCCAGATGGTTGGCATGGTTCTCGCTTAAACTCGGCATAGATGTAGAATATAGTATAGAAGAGCACATAGGCTTCTAATTAAGTTATTCCTTTGTTCTGTGCGGAGTCGCTGGTGACAGCTAGCCAGATATATCGAGTCCATAAAATATTTATAATACTGAAAAGTTCTGGAACAGTAAGAATTTTAAACCAACTAGACATCTGTTGTTTCTCTGCCATTTACGCGGAGTCGGGGGCTTGCGTGCCGCGACGGACCTATTGAGACGGCCCACTTGTCTTAATGGACACCACAAGTTTTGGTTTTATAAGGAAACTACTAATTTCTGTGTACACGTAGATAAATAATATTTTTTCTGGTTAAAATGCAGTTATGCGTCTTTTCTGTCAGTGGCAGAAATCATTAAAAAAACAACAAAGAAAGACTTGTAAAATACCTAAATAGTACTCTTGTTGCTATAGTACAAATATCAAATATGCGTGATCTGATATTATAAATTGGTTATTAATTAGGATAAACGGTAAACAACGCTCAGCAAAATGTGATTTATAATTGCAACTGTACTTCTAAATAAATGCACTTCTTGGCACCATATAGTCCAAACAAATCCAATCAGCCTGGTCTTCGTAGTCCAGTCCGGCTGCCGCGTACCGATTCTTTCACACAGATCGCTGAATATTTCAGCAGCTGGCTAGGACAAAATTACAGGCTTCGCTACGTCCTTTGTGTGATATTCTTGGTATGGAAAAGTCGGTCTACAATCAGGTGAGGTTTGATTGCTGTTACAAGCTGCGTTGTTCTCACGTTTCAATACTGCAGCATTTGTCACCTGCACGTTCACACAGCATATATTATGCCGCATATGATTTTCATGAGTGTTTCAAGCGACCTACTTTCCAAGATATTTTTCGACGCCCTCTTGGCCCTATTGTTTTCGGCATCGTACCGCCTTATTGCTTTTGTATTTATATCAATATGCATATTATATTTTTGTTTGTTCTCTTTAGATTTTGTTTTACACATTTTAGAAGTGCTATTTTTAATGCTTAATTAAACAGATTTAATTTCAATGCATTGGAATACACATAGATTGATATTAGAAATGAAAAGAGGTAATTAATATGGCACACACGACATAAGGATAATGTTTTGTTCAATGGCAATGAATAAGTGTAAATTCTTTATATGAAGTACATATAAAACTTGTGGTATTAAAACCTACTGTTTACCCAGGAAATGAGAGGGATGGCAATGTTTTTATACATATATAAATGTTTCATTAAAAACCCACCCTTACAAGAAACTAGACAACATAGTTTTAGTAATAAGGCTAAGTGGGCATTCCGTGTGTCGGTCTCGTCGTAATATTGCCAATTACATTTTGCTCTACTGGGGGACTTTTATGTTATGCAAATTCAACAGCTCTTTTACTTTAAAGGCAATGGTTAAAGTTTTTTATGAACTGTTACTTCAATGAGCAGTAGGAGATACATCGTATTTTTTGAGATAAACGTTCAATAAATATAATGTCGAATCATGTTGCACGTACAGGATGATGGATGGAAGAAAGACCTTTTCGGGTTCTGCAAAATGGACATCTAACATAGACATCTCTAAATTCTGTTACATAACTAAGAGGCAGACATGATGTTTACTGCATTAACTAGTTGGCTATACCAGTTGGATACATGTGTTTTCTTTATAAAAATAAAAGTTTTAATATTGTCCAATTTCATAAAGACAAGAATATTAAAATACTATCTTATAATTTCACTTTATGTTTTTGTTGATGGTCTGTTGCCTCGGTGACGATTGTCTTTGATGTCGCCTCATCGGCGGGCCATTAGCTATTGACTAATAGATGTCCATATAGACCTGTCGGTCAACATGCACATATACATGCTCTTAGTACATAAGTTCGTGTGAGTTAAGCTATAACGATTACGATATTTGAAACCCCGTCCTGATTGACCTGATCGAATTATGTTGAACGTAATTTGGATAATTATGACCTATATTTTTATTGTCCTACATGTATTGTTCGGTTTTGGATTCGGTTAATTTGTAGGAAGAGTTACGTATTTATATTAAGTATGTATATATTAATGTCCTACCAGATTGAGTTTTACAGATATCGTTATTGAAAAGCCATCGTAGAGACTACAGTTTAAGCTAAGCACATTTCAAACCGTGTATTTCAACGTAAATACGGCAATATTGGCAATGTGGCAAGTCTAAACAATTTTGTCCTGTGTAATATATTATACCGATTCAGTTCAAATATTAATTTTGTAAAATTTTGGAAAACCATGGCTTGACCTATAAAATAATGATTACGCATGTCGTGGTCAATGGATACGTTGTCTCTTTTTTACCAAATAGTTAGAGGATAAAATAAAACTATGGGTAATATATGTCTATGGGTAATTTATAGAAATAAAAATGTATGCATTCAGTAACAGCGGCATATTCAAATGAAAGATAAATTCGGTTTTTCAGCAAGTTTTAACGCGTATTAGCAACCTTAAGTATTTACATAAGGTTGCTAAAGTAAATACTTTAGGCGAAATTCGAAACGAGGCAAGGTTTATTTAACCTGGCGCTCATTCCCGGCACTGAAGCGAATACAGAACCTCTCTCAGTGCTTTGAAATCGAAAGCAACAAAGTTTGCCGCTGTGTAAGAGCGGGGGTCGTCGAGAGGTATGTAGGTTGCTCGAGACATGGAACAGGGTGTCGTCTTGCGGTGTGACTCGTTAAGTCGTCGTTTCCGGGGCACAATGAGAGGCAGAGGCAGGGGTGGTATCGACGGGGCGGTAGCGCTGCGCATGTGCGAAGCCGGCGCCCCGGAGTCTCGCGCGCCCTTACTAACGCCCGTGCGGAGCCCGATTGCTGCCAGTCGAAGCGCGCACGCCTCGCGGGCCGGTCACCTGCTCACCTGCCAACCTGCCCACCGGTGCTCTATCATGATACATTACGCGCTGCTCACTTACATTCATCACCATGTACGTGAATGTCCGCTAAATAATTCCAATAGGACAAAACAAGTCGATCTAAACGGCGTATCTCTTGTTCTAGGTGCGATCAGCCCAATTTAGGCGTCCGACTTGAATCATAGGTGAGTACTTTTTGCCCGCTCTTTTTGAATGTTTCCGAATTATTTTGGGGACAGTGTTGGCACCCAAGAAAATTATTAAACCTAAATTAGAAATAACTTTGAATTGACTCTACAATTTATGTATATTTTGGAGGGGGATAATTTTCAAGTTTTGAAAACGACAGATGTGTATTGACGAGCTGGGCTGTGTCGCAACGGTCGCTTCGGTAAGAAACGGTCGCAGGTGAGACAGATGGTAATGACATTTGGCATATAGTAGCACTAGATTTTTTCTTGTTGTTTTTCGAGATGTTCCCGAGGTCCGCCTTCTTTGTGTGCCATGCACCTGCCGGGACATCTGGAATCCAATTTTATGCTCTAATCACATAACATCACATCACATCACAAAGTTATAATTGTATAACTTAAATGAAAATTAAACTAGCTCATAGTACGGTTTTAGTCAGTTGACGTGACTGGCGATTTAATTAGGGCGTATAGTGGCGTGCGCGTGCTTACCCGCGTCATACTGGAGCCAGTTTGGTCATTGTGGCGATAGGTGGTCCTTTGTGTCGGCGCTCCCGACGTCGCGGCTCTGATGGGCGTGCACCTGTGGGAGCCACTGACCTCTTTCACCTGCCACTTACTCAACCACATCTTTTTAAGCCTCTGACATGTTTACAATGTGATAGCCCTATTTCTAGTCTAAGCCGCCTTCTTGGCGGCGCGTTTTTATGCTCACGTATTAATATGGTCGTAAAATTTTCCTTTAGCGCGAATTTGTAGTTTGTATGGTGTATAGGAATAATGTTCCGTAGTAAGAAGTCGTGATTCTTATAAATATTTCATTTTAATAGTTTGATCATGCAATTTTTAAATTTCTTTTAAAAGTTGGTTCTTTTTTAATTTGTCTTAATTTAATATAAACGATTTTAGTCGCCAGTTTCTGTTTTTTTTTTTTCATTTGGAAGAATCCCAATTGATTTTCGTTAAAATGAAACTTTGATATCATAATTACGTATCATTAAAAGAGATTGTCTTTACTATATTTATTGATTTTTTTATATAAAAAGAATTTCTATAAAATAGTTGCATTTAATATAGGAAAAGTGATTGGATTAATTTAATGTATCGTTTACAAAGCTTTTAAGGAAAAGCTATACACGCGCGCTCGTTTTGTGGCTGTTTCGTCATAAACGTTTTCTGTCGTCAAATTGCCCGCCCTATACTGTACGGTAATATGTTGGTTTTTGAAATTGCCAGACTACACATAAATTAGAAAATGAACTTGTAAAAATATAAGCCAAAAAAGAAATAAAGTAAGTTAATCTGTATTTTTATATTAATCTAAAGTTTTTTTTTAACCTAAAATCAAACCGTTAAAATTCTTTATGTTAACTACATTTATTATTAATTTAAAACTTTAATTCTGATTTTGTAATGTAAGGTGTTTTGAAAAGGATGTACCAACTAATACATTTCTAGGAAAAAAAAGACAAATTGGGATAAAACACTCTTGTTGGTCAAATAGTTTTGGGTATCCAAAGACAACAAAGGGACGCAGTTTACGACTCCCCTTTTACGACATACGGCAAGTGTGTTTACACATACTTAAAAGAAAAATGATTTTTTATTATCTATATATAAAACTTATTAATAAACTAAATGACGCCCGCGACTCCTTTCGCAAAGAATTAAATAAAAAGCTGAATTAGTAGCCTAAGTGTTCTTCCAGACTGTATTCTACATCTTTACCAAATATCAGCAAGATCTATACAGCCGTTCTGGAGATACCTTCAATCAAACATTCATCCGTCTATCAAAACATTCGCATCTTATAATATCAGTAAGATGTAACAGAAGAATTATAAAAGTATATATATCGCTGGTTGATTGTAATATTAAATGTATTGGGTCCATATTATGTGTAATGATTACATATTACTTAGGAAAGAATAGCCTAGGCTTAGTTCAAAATTTATTCCTAAATCGGCAAGAAACCACACTGTGATGAATAAGAAAATTTAAGTACTGTCGTACAATTTAATAGTTTTTATTATAAATAATGTCTATATTATACTGTTTCCACCCTAAAAGTTATACGAGCGGTTATATCAATATACATTTAGCAGTACTGCCTGTTTGTAAATGCGCTAAACACGCTAGCCTTTTTTGGCATTTTATAAGAAATACGTTCTGATGTCTGGATGGTCTGACGTAAAGTACAAAAGTATGCGAAGCTTAGTTTTTGGTATTTACGTAAAATTTACATAGTTGCGTATCCCTTGATCGTCGCGATAGAATTTGCAGGACAAAAAGTTGCGAAATCTACATTATTCGGGGCTCTATCTAGGAATTCTCTCTGTTACTTTAATAAGTAGGAAAAGTCACTGAATTCCCGTAAGCTTGAAAAAATTGTGCTTTTTTTTTCAGTATATACCTTTCTAGATAGATATTTACCAGACAAAATTTAATAGGATTTCTCAATGATTAAAAAAAAGGTTATTATTAGAAAAAATCAGTGTGAGTCAACAAAGTTTCCGAGTAGTGAGTATAATGAGGATCGCGCTTTATAATTGTTTGGCGGGTAAACAATGAGGATCGATAGAGGCGCGCCCCGCCGCCGCCGGCAACGCTCCCGCCCACAGCAATACTTGACTTTATTTCTATATTCTATAACTGCATATGTTTGTATTAAATATCATTCTCCAAGCCAAACCAATTAAACTGAAAGGAAAAGACTAATCGTCCTACACGAGGACGGTATAAAAATTTAAATAAAACAAAAGGGGGAAAATAGGTATTTCGAAGGCTACTAGTCTATTCATAGTTCACTACTCTTTGATCGTATGCAATTATACTTAAGATTATAGTTAAATTTAAAATAAAAAGCTACTATAAGTCGATGTCCTTGCCATCTAGATTACTAAAATAAATTATATGGTCTTTAATTGGTCAACAGCTCGATCGTTAACGGCGTAGTGTATGTGGTCCAGAATCCTTTAAGTCCTTTGTTTATGTATACGTTGTATGCAGCACACGGCGATATGAAGCGTGACGCGTACGGTGAAGACGGGCCGGTGCACAAGCGGCAACGGCAGACCGATGATGAAGTCACCTTCCTCATACCTAGCAAGGTAAACTTTTTTTGTATCAGAAAACCCATTAGTTGTCTGTAAAGAAAACTGCAAAAACCCGATGAAATCGATCTTGTGAATCGGAATGTTTATAGAAATTATAAATTGTTATTAAAATGTGCTTCATTTCATTGTTTTGAGTTAATTACTTTCGCTTAATTTAAAAAAAAGCAGGAAAAGTGTAACTGAAAATGTCCCATACAAGTTAAAACGTCGTAGAAATATCTAGGCAGCTTAATGTTATTAGAATTTAAATGAATTTTAGCTAAATATGTGGCAACCGACAGGTGGCGGGGTCTATTATCGGAAAAGGTGGCTCCAACATCTCCAAGTTAAGGAACGAGGTCAGTATAATGTGAATAAGACGACATGAATTGAATTCCCTTATCCGGTTATAAAGAAGATAGTATCGATAGTAAATCAATAAATTCAACGATAAACCTTGATTTTTAATTTTGAATATTTGCTTAATCACGCTTTTATGTACTTACCTTTTTATTTTAATCTAATTACATTCCTTTTTTTTAATGTCTCTAGAGGTGGTATCAATTTGGCATGTACTTAACATTTATTTTATCTAGGGTCTCGAAGTAAGTGTATTCGTATAAGTATTTGAGTGTAACGTGTCTTAATAGAATAACGATTTTCCGCCACAGGTTCAATGCTCCACAAAACTAAATGATTAAAAGTATGGCTCGCTGGTTCCAATGGTTCAAACAGGCAACATTACTTATCCAATATTCTTTATATCCTTGTCATATAACAACTGTTATGTTTTTAAAGTAATGTAAGAAATGCAGAGCGATCGCTGTGTCCTTTGTGGTCACAGCCACGCGCCAGCGGCCACTGCCTAGGTTGTAGACAGAATAACCCCCCGGCAGCCAGTTCCAGGTCTTTAACGCCCCCGAGAAACCTCTGTGGCTATTTATGCGACGTGCCCCGCGCCTCCTTACGTGCCTCTCGCCCATACCCGGATTGCGATTGATTTATAAACTTAACGAAGAAAGCTTCAGTAAAAGATACCGCGGTAGTCGCGATTCGCAATCCGGGCCTAGGGCGTAGGGCACGGAGCGGAGGCGCGTGGCGCGCCGCTACAGCGATTCTCGGTTGCCGGTCCCGCCCCGCCGCCGCCGCCGCCCCGCCGCCCCCCGCCGACCCGCCACGCAGTACAAAGCCTCTATAACAGTCCCCGATTGCCCCGGCCCCGAACGGTAAACCGACAAACTACTCTCAAACTTTGTACCCCAACTTGACACACCTTTATACAACCGTCAACAGTCAGGAGTTTGAGCAACCATCCGGCGTTAGATGCTTCACACGCCCCGTACCTAGCCATCACACAGCGGAGCTGCACGCGAGTTCTCCTCCAGCGACGCTTCCCAGACCTGTGCCGTCTGACCTCACGCGCCGCGACTACTCCGCCACCACTACTTCCGAATCATTTATCGATATGTTATTCTCCTTGTTCAGGAAAACATCTTGACCTTCCTACTGCCGAAGTTGTACTCTCATCACCATCATGCTTTTATCTATATTTCGTAGCCCGGAAACAGACCTCCCTGACCGTTGATATGTTATTTCGTTTATTATAATTATGCTAAGATTTTGACAAACGAAATATAGGGGAATTTTTTGTAATACTGTTTAAATTTTTCAGAGTTCTGTCGATAAGTGCATGTGATATCGACACTATTTTGGAAATCGTGAAAGACATACTGCCGAATTTGGCCGATGTAAGTATTGTTATAAACTCCCCACATAAAGCTTTTTTCCTTTCACTTAATTCTAATATACTGTTAATTTACTAGGGAGCTTTAAAAGGAGGAAACGAGGATCTGGACATCCGTCTCCTAATACATCAGAGCCGAGCGGGTTGCGTCATCGGTAAAGCCGGTGCCAAGATCAAAGAATTACGTGAGGTAAGTTCATAACATGTTACTATTCTAGATAATAATTTTTAGGGACGGTTCCGTTTTCTAGTTATTTCTGAACTTATATTTAACTTGGAAATTTCATTTATTAGCTGAAAAATTCCTGAATAAAACTGAATTTTGTGAACGATTTCAGTCTCTTTGATTTACGATTACGTGTAGCCTATATGTTGTAATATTAATGTTTTGAAAGTGCCACAACAAAAAATATAAAGATTATATTATAAAGGTGATCGTACTTTAAATGAACACATAACATAATACATGTGGGCATATGTATGTCTTAAGCAGTCGGCACGGGGCACAGGTAACGAAAGGTGGTAAGCAGATGGTGTGCCGGGCCGCTAATCATCCGTCGAGCGATGCACTGTTACACTGAATGTTTTTTTCTATATACATAATGTAGCCACGTGTCCGTCGGGGATGAGGGGCAGATGTGAAAGCAGCTGCCATCATCCGCGTCTTATCTACATCGACGGATGTTGCTTAGGAATAACACGATCTAAACAACTCGTATGGAGACTATTGAAGCTTACCAAACCCTCAGTTTGTGTTTCGAATACCGTAGTAGTCGAGAAATCAAAATCTCTTTTATAGTCTTTTTACTTCAGATCAGCTTCTGTAGGAAATGGCACAGATAATTAACGAAGTCGGTAATTATATTGTCGAAATTTCTCCTTTGATATGTCATGTTTATTTCGAGATTTTGCCGATTCTAATAGACACTAGCTAATGGAATATGACTGTCTATGGGTCTTTAATATTGCAAGTTACTAACTTTCCTATCCCATAAACATGTACTTGATATTTTTAGGGTTCCATACTTAGAAAGGAATAATACGGAACCCTTATAGGATCACTTTGTTGTCCATCCGTCTGTTCCTTTTTTCAGAATGCAATTAGATAATGAGATTTTTATAAAATATCACGCATTTTTTTGCGTTGGCTTGAATTCAGAATATGTACGGACAACGTTACAGCTAGTTCCTATGTATTTGATTTATCCGTCTACCATCTCATTTAGTAGAATGTCGCTGCGACGAGTAGTTATGTCTCCTTCAAATTTGGCGCCGTGTCAAATTGTAGATTGTTATAGCGATGAAACAAAGGCTTTAAATCTGTCGGATTTATATTTTTTAAAAAGTTAATGTTAATGTATAGTTTGAAAAATAAAATTGATAGTTGATTTAATGATTTAGTTTTTTTTTGCAAATTGTTTCACGATATGTGTAGAGTTTCATTTCTAGATATAATTTGCGCGTTGATTTGATATAAATTGTATTATAGCATGTTAAAGCAGCTTAAGCCGTATTGTATTAAAACAAAACATTATCGTGGCTTAAGTCCAAAACTCGGGCAATTTGTCATCGAGCTACTTTGCCGAACAAACAGCATTAGACATCCGACTTACAAAGTGCAGGCTCCAGGGCGGATCAATTACCGAAAGCCAGACTACTACGGAAGTTTTTAAGGCGACCGTCTCCCTCGTAAAGTCTGCACGTTTCATTACGTAATCGTATTATCTGCCTATTGTCCTTGAAATTTTAATACAACCATTCTATTGAAGGATAAAATGGTTATCATCAGCGATTTTTAGAAATGTATTTTTAATGGCACGAAAATCAATATTTTTTTCAGTCTTTTTATAGACAGATAGTTAATTAATCTGTTTCTTTTTATTAAAAAAAAGCAATAACGAATGATAGAGTATATAATGAAAAACTAGGGATTGGTCCGAAAATAAAAGTATTTTACGTAATAGGTACCACGGTTATTTCACACTGATTCAATAAATAAACATAAAGCTTTTGCGATATGTCGCTCATTGAGAAGATCCCTTTTGTATCCGATCAGCTGTTCGTTCACGTTCGATGTCTTTGTTCGATTGTTTCCCATCACAAGAATCTTTCTTCGAAAAGAACAATGTCGCTAAATTTACCTGCGAATTGAATATAACAATATATTTTTGTAACAAACTATAAGACGAAATGTATTTTTTGGCTCACTTGGTAAGGCTACAAAAATGTTTTGTATACAAATCGTTTATGAAAAAATCTTAAATGTCCTTAAAATTAAAAAGCTCTTATAGTGTGTTTGAAATATTTGACCTGTTTCTTGTCTTAGTAGTTGATTCTACAAATATTATCGAAGATTGCTATCATTGAGTCGATATTGAGGTACTGTCTCCAATGTAATTAAACTATTAGAATTGAAGCAACTTAATTTGTGGTACGCTCTTTTGCCGTTGTACAAGAGTGCGCGTGCAGAGCTGTGTACTGCCTACCCCGCGCGTGTCGGGCGCGGTGAAGCATTCGTGCGAGCGACGCGTGCGCCAGCTGCGCGGCGCGGCGGGCGGCAGGTGCGCGCGCAGCCGCCGGAAGGCCGCACAAAAACGCGCGCACCTGGGCCCTACCCACTTGCACAATGCCCCGCCATAAGGGCTCCTCTATACAACGTTAAATAGACATTTCGAACATATGCCCCGCGGACTCAAAACTACCTACTACTCGCTCGCTTGCAGGTAACAAGGTCCCAGCCGATCTGTTGTTTGCTCCACTTTTTGTCCAGCTTCCATCTAAGCTTTTGTTTATATGGGAAAAATGTTTTGTTCAGTTCCTTGCACTTTGGATTTGAGTTGCGAGACCAAAGTTTACAATCAAAGAAATACCTCTCTGCTGGTACGGTTCTGTCATGTACCGTGTGACAATTTTAAAGGCACTATTCTTGTTTTACCTATCACAAGCAAATGCTCCTCGAGGTCATATCCCTACTAAGAAGTCTCTCTCTTCGAGCCCAGAGCTCGCTAGTATGCAAAGTTTCAAAATTACATTAGCAACCAACAAAGGAATTTAAACTTGACCGGGCAATTACGCAACAAGTTTAGTTATTTAGTCCTTGAGTGCCTAACTGTTTCAAGGCTTCTTGTGTAGTTATGAAATGTGTATAGAACAATTGTTGTTGGTGCTTTGTGTCGTAAAGGGTGGTAACACGTGTTGGTGGGGTTTCGGACGGAAGCGCGGCGCCGGGCTCCGGCTCCGGTTACTGGGAGACCACGTGACGGGAGGGGACTTTTTTATGGACCTCCTTCCACATCCTCTCAACTGTTGAGCAAAAAAAAATCTACGGAAATGCACAAAGATTTGGATTAAAAAAGAAAGATTTTAAACTAAACGTGCGCTTAAACACTGAAAGAATAGCATTTACATTTTGGGCATGACAATATTTTAGAGTTAAGATAAAACAATATTACAGATTTTTTCAAGTGATTTAATTTGTATTGTAACATATTTTTCAATTTGTACTTACACTTTAAAATCCGATTTTTTAATTGAAAGTGTTGGTTCAATTGTAATGAAATTTTCGATTTATTAAAAAAAAATTTAAACATACATATCAAATTTATTTAAATATAGATTGGGTAGGTGGCATATATGTCGGTCTAAATGACCGTAGGGGACAGAGGACTGTCGTCGCACTGACACCGGCAATTACAGCAGCACGCGAGCCGCTTCCGTTTCCGATCGACGCCGATGCCGGCCGTTCTATGGCTTCACATGACACTACTCAGCACTACTTTTATATCGACAATATGTCCTAAAACCTCACGTACACAATACATAAACATCCGGTACATAATTTAAGGATAATTCCAAATTTTTCGGTGATTTCATAAATATCATGAATGATTCATCTGACGTATATATTATAATAAACAAAATTTCTAGCGTTATGACATCTGCCTCTGTGCTGATTAAAACCTATTGAATAAGACATTCCGAAAACATTCGCTCCAAGCTTTCGCATCAGCTGTTTGTTGCATTAGATATTTAAACCGTAGTGAAAAACCGCTACGTTCGAAAGTCTTTGTTGGCGTAGGCGTGCTGCCTTACAAGTGTGGGGGTGGGGGTTATCACAGGTGTTCACTATGACATCGTACCCTCACCTCATTCCGTCTCCGGCCACCTTCAGGGTCGAACGTGCTTTCCCTTCAGTGGAGTGTTTCGTGAAATACATCGCGAGTTAATCCGTGATATTACCGTGATGGTTTTAAATCATCGAATAAATTTAATTTATTTCTTGAAGATTAGTTATTATAAGTGAGTGTTGAACTTCTTTTGAGTTTTAAAATCACTTTTTAGTGTTCGTATGAGGTTTTTAAAAAGCCTTCGCTAGTAATGCCAGTTAAACCGTATATCTATTGAATAGAAAAAGATCCTTTATCATCTAACTTTCAATTTTTGTTTTTTAAAAGAAGACTTAACAATATTTTAAAAGTATACAAAGTATATTCAGTTAGTGATAATTTTAATTTTTATACTTCGAATCATTCTTGAAGAAAATTTGTTTAGTATAGTATTGTTTGGAGTGTTTGTGCATGCCGTATGTCGGTCGGGCCACGTGCTTCGGTCGATGGATCAACGCTTGCGCTCTTCAAACAACGACGTCACGACTTGCTCCTTATAACCTTTTAATTAATTATTATAACCTGCCAGTAGCACAATTAATAATATTCTTACCGGCCAGTACTTTTTACTTTTAATTAGTAGCAACTTTTTTCTCAACTCGTATTAGTCGCAAACGGAGTCGATGACCTCGGTGGCCTAATTTATTTGACGTTACCCAATAACGGTAATAGATTGTCCGCAAATTTCCAACTAACCCTTGATAGCTTTTACGTCTGACATCGTAATATATTATTAGATGGCTTTTGGAGACATTAATATTAAATGGATTGAATTTCAGATGTCTGATTTAAAAGCTTTGGTAATAGTTTTTTGTTTTTGTTAATAGTATTTGATTTGAATTACGCAGTTGTATTTTTATCATTAGTAGTAATAAATATTTTTGAGCCTTTAAATTTTAACTTCGTAGAAGATACAAAAAGCGACAAATCATCAATATTTAAAGTTGGGCCGCTGCCTTCTATGTAAAAACTTATACGTTTCAAATTTATTTTTTAGTATACTTTATAATATAACATTTTCATTTTTCGGTTATTTTGTATACTTGTGTAATTGCAGAAAACGGGAGCCAGACTGAAGATATTCTCTAGCACTGCGCCGCAGAGCACGGAGCGCGTAGTGCAGCTGGTGGGCAGCAAGGAGGCCGTCGCCGCCGGAGTGCGCGAGGTCCTCGATCTCATACGACAGGCACGTACATACTGCTCAGTTCTCTCTCTTCTTCAATTATTTCGGTGTCGATATTAAACGAGGTAGAAAGATGTTAAAAAGTTAAGTTTGAACATAAAATTTCAGGTGCCAATAAAGGGCGCGATACAGAACTACGACCCGCACAACTACGACGACTACTACGCGGACGAGTACGGCGGCTTCGGGGGCGGAGCGGGCGCGGCGGGGCGCGGCGGACGCGGTGCACCCCCCCGCTCGCCCCGCAGTGCGCCGCCGCGCGCCCCGCGCCCGCCCGCGCCGCGCGCCGCGCCGCCCGGCCCCCGAGGTGCGTTCAACGATTACGGCGGACCCCCGCGCGGCTTCGGCGGACCCCCCCGCGCCAACTTCCCCGGACCCACTTTCCCCGGCGGCAACTTCGGCGGCGGCTTCAACAGGAACTCCGGCGGCCAGGAGACGAGCACGCAAGTTACCATACCCAAAGATGTGAGTGTCCCTCATCAGCCTCGCTCTGCGCCCGGCGTCATGGGGCTGTGGCGGCGACCTGCGACCTCCCGTTGCGGATAACCGCACAGGACCCGCACACTACCTCTGACACCCACATATCATTGTCAATTCTTTTGTGGAAGACTTTAATCCAAACTTATTACCATGCACTAAAATCATAACTAAAAGTAGGAATAAACCTCCTTAAAAATTAAGATTCAACATAAGACATCACCTTGTCAAAAAGAATTAAATTAACACCTGCACAAGGCAATCAATATTAGTATTCTCTCAGTCCGCACTCACGAGCACCGTCCTACCCCCCCGCCCCGCACACAGCATGCCACTCCCCTTGCAGGAGGCGGGGCGGTGTTCAACGACTTCGGTGAGTGTCACATAACAATAGCAACATGTATAAGAATAACATTATAAGAGTATGTCTGTATGGTGTGCAGTTGGCCGGCGCGATTATCGGGAAAGCCGGGTCCCGTATCCGGAAGATTCGCGCGGAGAGCGGCGCCGGCATTGAGATCGCGGAGCCGCTGCCGGGCTCCAGCGACCGCATCATCACCATCACCGGCACGCCGCAGCGCATACAGATGGCGCAGTACCTCCTGCAGCAGAGGTCAGACCTCGCGCACACACACACACACACGCACACAAACACATGTTATAATAACCAAATTTAATCTCAAATGTTTTTATTTTAAATAAGTAATAATTATGTCCATAAACAAATTCTTTAGTATTTGTTAGTATTCAGGCCCTTTTGAATGTTAAATATTGTGAAAAGCGTATAGTGAAATATGTATATGCTTTTTGTATGTTTAAGCTATTTGCATGTGATGCATGATATGTGTATGTCTTAGTATAAATGTTGTAGCTCCTAAAATCTCTAACACATGTCCAGTGCTTTTGTATTAGACAGAATCCAAACTATATCTGCTGATCATTATATCATTCAAGAAATTTCTTTTTGACTAATTTTTTCAATTGAAAACGCCAATTACATCTATAATGTATGATGGCATGGATGATTTTAGAATTATTACAAATTGTATTTAAATAACCCTTTATTTAAAAAAACTATATTGTATTGCAAAATGTTAAGGCTATAGTGTAAATTAAAGGGACAAAGGTATAAACTAAAAAAAGGTTTATTGTTATCTCTGTCTCACATTAAGATTGGGCTATTCCAAAAACTATTTCCTAAATGTCGTTGAATTTAGAGCCATAAATATGCCATAAACAATTTATTTCTATTAATTATATTTCTCTTAACAATGTGAATAAAATATCTGATGTGCCATCATACATGTAAATGTTCAAATATTCAGAGGTAATGTTATCATAACTAACACGTTATTTTGGCAATAGAATGTTCCAAGAGTTCCCCGACTTGGCTCCAAACCGCACTAAAATTAATAGAGTTAATTGATGAGTTGTATCAAATGGAACCAACGCTCAGGTAAAACTGCACACAACTTTGTTGCTAGATGTTTGTTGGGTAGATTATATGAAGAATTTATAATAGTATAAGTATATAGATATGGAACATATTTAATTGGGAACTTTAACTAATCTTAACAGTGTATTCAGTATTATTCCAACTTAAGTCCTTAAGTTTGTAACAAAGGAGTAAGAAAACTATATAAATTCCGAAATGCTTAAAGAAATTGCCGTTTTCATTGATTTTATTTTTTATCTTACAATTACTACAATATTTCCTAATAAACATAAAGAATTGTGTAAAATTACATTTTTGCTAATTTTAGGTCTTAAATTGGAAGTATAGTTTATTTATTGCCAAATAATTAAATTATATTGTTTTGTTATAAATGTGTGCATCATTTGTGTATTAACAATTTACATGGTGAATAACAAATGTTTTAGGTGTGTTGCTTGAGCGGCGAGCGACGTCGGCGGCCGAGCGTTGTATGGAAGACTAGTGATTTTGTTGTTTGTATAAATTAACAAGGAATCACTAATCTCCCTACAAAGCGACGGTACTCACTACGGCCACAGTTGCGCTACATCTGTTATAATTATTTCTTGTGTTAACTCGTGTTGTTTTTATTTTTGTTTTATTAAGAAAATCGTTTTCTTATGATTTATGGTTTCTAACCTTTAATTTGTTTTCTATTACAGTGTTCATGAGAGCAACCCGAATCTCGGTCGAGGCAACTTCTAATATTCCAAGACTATAACAAATTAAAACAATTCATAAAATAATTCAACTGATTTAATTTACAATTGTAAAATAATGAAATCGTGTGAAATGCGGTCGTTTATTCTCTGCGGGTGAAACAGAGTTGAGGCTCATTTACAATATATTTTGTTTGTCTGTTTGTTACAAACTAATTATTTTTAATATGATTTCTAAGGCATTAAGAAACGTCTAAGATTAATATTTTTGAATTCATTCGTAAGAAAGAAGCATTTATAATGATTATAAAAATAATTATAGAAGTTAATTTTAAGATCGTGTCAGTGGTAAATGGTTTTTGTTACATCGATCTATGTTAAGTAATAGAAAATAGAATTTAAAATAAATAGTTTATTTTATGATTTTAGTATTTTTATTTTTCATATATCCTTTTATAAATATCCTGGTTTGTTCTAAATTTCATTCAAAAATCATAGTGGCATGAAAAGTGTTTAGTAATAAAATATTAAATATTTTTTATGCATTTACAGTTTATCACATATTCAATCCATGCATAAAAAAGCTATTAAATTAGAAGTCGTTTTATTTTTAACAGACCGGTAAAATTTTATATAATAATAAGTAACTGAGTATGTCAGATGGGTCTCTGAGGCTAAGATCTGTAGTTTGGACACAGGCTGATAATAAGGAATTAAAAAAAAAACATTTTTTGGCAATGTGACAACTGAGGTTGTATGCAGAATTCCAATATTGTTGTCCTTCTCATATACCTAATAATTAAAAGGATGGAAGATTGCACATACAAAGGCATGTGTTGCATGGTAAGGCAACATATTTTCTATTAAATTACTCATCTTCACAAATTCCATTCTTTAGTTCCCTTTTTTCACCATCAATGCAACCTATTGTATTATAGACAATTTTAGTCTATAACACAATAGCCTTTGTTATATCAATCAAAGGCATGTATAATATTAATCATTGGGTTATTTTACCATAATAAAATATGTAATTGCATATCACACCACACATTCCAGTAACCTACTAAACGAAAATGTTTATATTCCTGTCACTATACATGGTAATATTATTTTAATTGAGCCATTAGGCAATCATTAATTACAAAATGTGTCCCACAACTTCATCGGTGTGGAATTTGTACCAACAAATTATGTAAAATTTCAATCAATTTACTCAATTTCTTTTTCCATTAGAACCTTCATCAACTCATGCTCAATACAAGAGCTGGCATAATATGTACTACTCTTTCATTCATTTATTTTCATACAATCCACCCATACTTTCTTTGGTCGTCCTATACCTTTGTATATAATACCTATTCAATCTCATTATATTCTTATTTAAGTGATCATCATCTCTAGTTATAACATTTACTTTTGGTAGTGATCAGATTCAGTAATAGGTTTTTTTGAATGAAACCAACAAATCTTATCAATACTTTATAAGAATCAGGTTATCTTATTATATACATACATTGAATGTTAATGTTAAAAAGTTTACTAAAATATATCCACAACTTAAAGCTTTTGATCAGATCAAGTCAAAAATGCAGTCATCATGTGGGATGTAGAGATGTATCTGTGTGCTTGTCTAAATAAAACATGACATATACAAGTGGTATCACAACACCAAGGATCAGCATGCAGCCAACCAAATGAAACCATTTCAATCCAAAGTCAGCACCGTGTGACGTCAACTCCTTTACGACAACTGCCTCCACTGATATCTTTGGTTTATTATTCGGTAACAACTGAGTATCTTCAGATATTGCATCATTTTGTTCAGTATCCATATAAGGTATAACGGATGGGGTCAGTGTACTGTTTAAAATCACAGCATTACAGTCAATAGCACAGTCATTTTCTTTAGAATCTCCTGTTTTAGTGACATCCTTCAAAATTTCACTTGTGAGTCCGTTAACAGAAGCATGTTGCAAGATGTTAGGTATGTTAAGGTTGGGTAGTAATTGCTTTGATGTAGAGGGTACTGGCTGACTCTCCTCTGCCGTTGGTATAAGCTCAGTGAGAACGGAGTATGGTGTCACAGGCACTTTTATTGTCCGTTTAGCAAATATCTCATTATCTTTGTGAATGTGATTGATTCTTTTTAATTCTGAAATCTAACAACAAATTGCTTTTGTAATAGATGGTACATGAATATAAAAGGTTATTGTTGTTGATAGATAATGTTATCTTTATAATCTTCGAGAATTAAGTAAATGATAAACAAACATCTGTGACAAGATAAGTTACTTAAAAAGTGAAAGTGTCAATGCCTCTGATTATATTTAATGTATTATATTATAAATCTTACCGAACAATAAAATCGTAGAGCAATCGCTTGTAGCGTGTCTCCTTCTTGTACTTGAGCTTCAATAAAATGGTCCTGGGGCTTTATCCTGTGCAGTTGAATTTCACTATTGTATGAATCACTTGACCTGTTCATATTTACGTTATGTCCAAGTAATTCATCTCCATTGAGCATTTGGCGACTTCTAAAATTACGAGAAACCAGATTAAACTTTATAATAAGTTTACAATAAAGAACAAAAAGCATTTAATAGCATATCCTACTCCTGCTTACCTTTGTTTCATTTTTTAAAACTACTATAAAGCTAATGATATCTAACATGACCCGATATGAAAAATATTGTACCTTTAGATTCCCAAATAATGATATTATTGTGATAAAATACCATAGAAATCGAGGAAAACAGCTGTTAATTTCTATAGCGAAACATTTATGACAAAGAAAATTTTGACATTTGCCACATTGACAAGATAACTACAACAGATAATATAGGATCCAGATCTATTATAAAGCAAATTATGCTTTTCCAATTCCAACCAAAAAAGTCACTGACTTACCTACAATTTTTAAGATTGTTTGATAATGCAAATTCTCACTTTTTTTTTAAGTTTAAACGATTTCACATAATCAATTAGACATTGTAGTAACAATTGCAGTGCTGGCAAATACGCAGTAACATTTGGCAACACTTGGCTTTGCCTTGAATTGGTTTAAATTATATTATAAACTATTATAGGTGTATTAGATATATTGATAGGCTAAAGATTGATTGGTAGATATATAGCCTAATCAGGGGTATACAAACATGATCGTTTGCAGAAACGTATCGTCAGTCCCACCATATTCAGGGCTCCACTTCATGAATTCATTTGGTTTGATTTGATTTACCTCTATTCTTTGACCTTTGTCATGCAAAAAGAGATGGGTTGATAGTTATATGGTATATTTATGATGTTACAATTTATTAAATTTCGAGTATGTCACACAACAGTAAGGTACAGAACATAGAATACCTTTGGAACTGCGACATAGAGGTGGTAATAATTGCACAATGTCTTTATTTTTCCTCTAGCTACACATTATGTACAAAAAATATTTATTAATATAAAAACTGACTTTATTACAATCACTGGTTTAGGTAACATTAGGTTAATGTGAACATTGAAACTTTTCTTGTTATTTGTGTTTATGAGTCAGAATAAATAATATTTTAATATAAACACACAGTGGACAATATTACAAACATATTATTATGATAAAATAATTCAAGTATAAAGTAAAATAAAACAAAGTAATCGTTTTTAATAAATTAGTTACAAATAAAAAAAAAACAAGTATTGATTTCATGTAATAAAAAATTAAAGCAATTAACGGCAAAATTATAACAAAATAAATATCACAGAAAATTAATTATTTTTTTACAATTGAGTATAATAGATTAATTAGAATAGAGAGATTTTCGCTTGGTGACAGTTGGTTTCGTCTACCGTGATACTTGTATTCATATCATACCATTCGTCTTTTTCTCTTTGAAAAAAAAAACAATGTTAGGAGTAGCTCCAAATAATCAGTTGGGTATTCACTGTTTCTGAATTTTGTGGTTGTTATACACGAAGCATAATATGCATTTTTAGTTTTTTTTCAAAAACTAAAGGAGAGTAGAACATGACGTTAGTATTTTTGTAGCACACTTTTAGATTCGTTGATTGTCAAAAATCTAATATGAAAACAAATGGCGTCGCCACTGATTTAGATTTTCGTTACTTTACAAACTTGATCAAACTGCCTGAAAATATATTAGAACTGAATTAACTATGACGTCAGAACTGTGCATTACTTAAAATGAAGTGTACATTAGCTAATAATATTTACAAAAGCAACAAGATACCGCAACAAATTATTTACAATGATAATTAAATATGTATGTAGCTTTTAAATTTTTTGTGTCCTATAACTAAGTTCGTTACAGCAAACAGGTCACGCAAGAAAAAGTAATTAATATAAACAGTAATTATTATAAAACAGTACATACAATTATGAAATTGTCATTAAATACATTTTTAATTATCTTGAATTATTATTTTATTTGTGGCGAATAGCTAATTGAAGCGAAATAAATTTTGTCATAAATGCATAAATAAATTTCTGGAATTTAAAATATTGATATTATTAATACTAAAAAAAATTGATTTGCCTCAAATTTCTGATCTTACTATAATTGCTTTTGAATATTAAAGTATAAATCTATTGTTACACACAAATAATTTCAAAAATAGAACAAAACGGATATCACACAAAAAACAAAAACAAGAGAATGGTAGGGCGTTGTTTTTTTTTTTATCACAGGTTGGGCTACATTTTTAAATTTTACAATTTGTGCCTTGTCCCATGTTGGACTGCTAAACATGTTATTATGTCTCTATACAAGGTTTTAATACGTTTAGATCTTAATACACAATTTTAGTGAAAGTCGCTGTGAATGGGTAAAAAAAAACAATTATTATTACCTTTTCGCTACTTAGTACAACATTTAAATTATTGATTTATAAAATTGAGTAATAAATAATAAGCAGAATTAGAAAATAATAGAAGTAATCTTGTATAGTTATTTTCAAATATCTTGGATGCTCAAGTCCATCTGCGCGGTGCCCTCCTTCCGCATCCCTGTACGAACTACAACAGAGCAGCGATTCTGAGCTTGAGATTCGCGCCTAGATGTTTGAAAACATCTATACTTATAGTATTATTTTTAAATAACAAAAATGGTAGCCTTAATTTAGACTGTATCTGGCAATATTTTTATAAATTAAATTAATTAATACTATTGTGGTTGTCAAGTGATATTTGATTTTTATTATTATATTATAATGACAGTTTACAAATAGAATAAGATAATAATAATAATATACAATATTGATGTAATTATTATCTAAAAATATAAATATTATTATACTACATAACGAGATCCAAAAGTTATATAACCTAGATAACTGACATATTGTGACGAAAGACCGCGAATACTAAATTATAGGGATGAATAGTATAATATCCAAAGTTTTCTTTTTCAATTTCTCGAAAACTTGATATATTTATCAGTTTTCGTGTACAAGAAGTTTTATTTACTCTTAAGAAATTATTTGGTATCAAACATGGTTCAAATCTCAATTTAATATGCATATTGGCAAGGATTACATGACGCTTATTGAACTTTTCTTGTCAGTAGCAAAGAAATTATCTATTGCACTGTTTACCCACCGTGATATATGAACTAAAGTGCGGTCTACATTTGTTCACTGGTTCAATCATTTGATGGTGCAGCAAAGTTAGGAAGCGGAGATATCAGAGAGTTCACGCATTGTCAAAGCCCTGGAAGTCTCCGGGCCAGTTCTCGCGGCGCGCGACGCGGTCTGAGCCCGTGCAAGCGAAGAATGCGTCCCCTTCGAACGGATCGGATTCCCGTGTGAATATATTAACCGATTCCGATTTTTTAATATCCCGATGCGATTGTGTAGGTTTTGCACGCAGAGGAGGTATGTCACCTTCGTCCTCCTCGGCTATAGAAGCGGTCCGACCTCTCGGCGTCGAAAGTGTCGCGAAGTCATCCTCGAACATGGATCTCGGCGACATCGAGTCGGAGTCGAATCGAAATCGTGTCGCGGGCGAGTCGCCGTCCCGCCGCGCGCTGCTGGCAGACACAGGCGATGCTGTCGTCTCCTCCGGCTCGAATGCGAATCTGAAATTTATAACGTATTCTATGTCATTTTGAAGATTCAAAGTCTGATTAAAAAGTGATAATTAATCTGTTCTTGTACGTCGAACTTACCTCGCCGCCTCTAAGTTTGAATACGGCGTCCTTTTCTTTGCGACGGCTGTAGGCGTGTCCTGGAAGTCGTTGTCAAACGGTGACGTGTGCTCGCGTTCGCGGGGAGAGAAGTCATTGGAGAAGCGGTAGTCCCGCCGAGCACGCTCCTCACGGCGAGCGCGACGCCGGGAGTCACGCGAGTCACGGCCCGACTCGCGCCCCGAGTCGCGCGAATCGCGGCCCGTGTCACGCGAGTCGCGGCCCGAGTCGCGTGGATCGCGGCCTGGGTCACGGGAGTCGCGGGCAGCTTCCCGCGAGTCGCGATCTGATTCACGGCGCGACACGCTACCCGTAGCCGTCCGACGTCCCGGCCAGCCTAGTGTTGATCCATATCTGTCGCATCAAAAATTAGATCGTTTTTCTATGCAATTATTCAAAACAGTTTATTTTGTACAAAGCAAACAACCGATGTAATAAAAAAGTCTTAACCTTCTATCGTTTGGGTCTTCGCTCTGTCTCATTTCTTGTCGTCTTCTTGTCTCCCTCCATCCTAACGATCCGTAGTTCCTTTCTGTAACGGAAATAAATGTGTGTGTATCCGTTCACATATCCATAGATTGAATAGCACCAGAAAAGTAATTATAACTGTAAACCGGCTATGATATAATACATTGATGTGTACTCACCATCTCTCCGCCAGCGCTGCTCCGTCCAGCGAGCCCGCGGTGACGACCGCCCCGAGCCGCACCCGTCACTGTAACTAAAGAGATGTCATATGTTAGGTTAATAACATGCTCAAGTATCATACCAACTATGTTATACACTTTAAGTATACGTTAAAGACTACAAGATTTATTTTACTAATAAATAAGAACATACTCTTCATCCTCGTCATATGAGTGTCGCGTCTTTCTATGTCTATCTCTTTCTTTCTCCCTGTAATCTTTCGTCGGTCTCTCTCTACTCCGTGAATCCCTGTAGTCTCTTTCTCTACTATATGTTCTGTCTCTGTCCCACGTGTCGTCCCTTTCCCTGCTCCTGCGATCCCTCCTGTGTTCCCTATGATCCCGCTCCTTGCTCACATCCCGTCTGTCCCTCCCGCTGCCAGAGTCTCTTCTGTCTCTAGCTGAATCTCTCCCATCTCTACTTATTTCTCTATCTCTTGCTCTATCTCTTTTGTCTCGTACTTTCTCCTTCTCCCGCCCGCTGCCGGAGTCGAGACATTCTCGGGAACCTGAAGAATTTTGCCTGGCCAAAAAAAAAAGTTCAATTGAGTCACATGTTATCACACTAAATATATTTCCTTTTTTTTTGTATACAAAGTGAATAAAACCTTGAATCTCTGTCTCGATGCTTGGAACCTGGCCGCTGCAAACGGCTCACTGAAGGTGGCTCCTCATCCCAGGGGGACACGTCGCGGGATGATGATGACGTTTGCACTAAAAGTAACCGAAAATTGGCATTTAGTCTGATGTGTTTAATGTATTTCTAAGAGCCACAACTATATCCTAAAATCCGTATGCTGTCCGGTATTGCAAGCTCGTATGTGTGTTTGTATGTTTACTGACCTATATGCGTGCGTGTATCATGATGGTGTCTACGGCGCGTGCGTGCGTGCGGCTCGGAGTCGCGGCTGTCGGAGGACCAGGGGGAGGCGGCCGCGCCCAGCACCGCCCAGCGGCCGGCGCGCGCCCCGCCCCCACCCACCACGCCCGCGCCCACAACAACGCCGCGAACACTCCCACACTTTTCTACACAGTAACCAAAATATGGGTTTAAACTAAATGTATAGCGTGTAAAATGAAAATTAACAAAAACATATGTGGTATCTTGGGCCTTACCCTTAGTATCTGGGGAAGATCCGCTGGCGACGTCGCTAATGGAACCCGCAGATAGACGCGGCGGCTGTATATCTCTGACAGGTATAGTCTCCACTGGAGATTCCTTTTTCTCCTCAATTATCTTCTCTTCCTCTCTCTCTTTCACAATAGGACTCTTTCTGAATGCATCTTCCACGTGCGTAAACGACAAAGAGCTATTATCGATGCAATCAAAGAAATCAGAATTGTCAAACCCGTCAGATTTCTCATCCGATTTCTTTCTTTCTTTGGGTACTTCGGGGGGCAATGATTCGAATTCATCTTGAGTTTGTTCTATGATAGTTATTTCACGCAATGCAGCGTATTTGTCGTTAGAATCTTCATGTTTGTGCTCGGCCACGCCGTTGTCCCGGGGAGACACGCTACGTCTCATGTTTTCGTTTATCTGTAAGTTTTTCATTACTGTCTTAATATCCTCTATCTTAGCGTCTATCGATGGTTTAGGACTGACGGAATTTCTAAACATATTAAACGAATCCAATGTCAATTCATCGAGAGTTTTAAGAGGGCTTTTAGCTGGTTCTTTTTTTATATCCTCTAATGCTTGATCAGTTTGCAACAGATCATCAATTCCTGTTTTTTCATCTTTTCCATCAATTTCCATCTGATTAGCTTCATTATCGACGGGGTCTAGAATAGATTTAGCCTTTAGTTCCTGCGCTTGTATCTCTCTGAACACTGCATATCTGTCGTATGACGGATTTGCTTTTTTTTCGAAGTCGTCAAAGTTAGCGACAAATGTCTCAGTGGATTCTGGAGGTGCAAAATCGTCTTCGAACTGAGGCTTAAACTCTGCAGCTATCGAAGTTAGGGATAAGACAGGTTTATCTGCGGACGGCGCTGATGGGGTTGGAATTAAAGACACTGATTTCTCTTTCTCCACTCGTATTGATGGATCTACATGGATATGCTGAAAGATTAAACTTTTTTTATTTTTTTTCCGTGTTATTTTTAGTTAACTTATAAAGATATGTTTATTATTGCTTACCGCTCTTTCATTATCCGCTGCTAAATATGAACGAAGGTAATCTGTGAGTTGTGGCAAAGTCATGGAGGAGAGCGTGGCGGCTGGTACACGAAGTCTGAAAGGTGACATCATTAGAGTAAGTACCGTATTGAAAAACTCGCCTAAGTTATAAAACAGAAACCTTAAAAATTGACAGCCATGTTTAAAAGTCAACATGACTTTGTAATTAGTAGAAAAACTGTAAGCACTGATTAGCTGGCGCTAGCGTCATGAGTGGGTAGTCTGTGAGAGCAGTGTCAATTTGTCAAACTTTTTAAATATTTCGAGTGAAATTTGAAGGAAATCGTTGTTATATTTTTTTTATATCTGTAGTATATTCAGTCATGACCAAAAGGCACTATTTCTACCGATTGTCGCGTTTGAAAGGCGTGTGGTAGAGAGATATCGAGGTATGAGTTGTGTGGAGGTATGAGGTTGGCGGTACCTGGCGGCGAGGTCGTCCATGGAGCAGGTGAGGAGCTGGCTGAGCGTGATGTCGAAGCGGCGCGCGGCGGGGAGCGGCGGCGGCGCCGGCGTCAGGTACTCGTCCTCGCTGCTGTTGGTCGCCGCTGACGACAGCCGCGGCTTCGTGCTGCGGTCCGCCTGCACACACAAACATTACAGTAGCCTGCCACCTTTAACAACCTTGGAAACTATCGAACTTTTTGTCAAACTTAAGATTTACACTATCACTTAATGTTACAAACACATATTAGATTGAGAAAAATAACGTCTTTCCTCGCCCTGACGCGACTACCAAGCGTTGTTTATACGATTCCGACTTGTGTCTGAGTGAATCTATACTCTTATAATAATAGACATAATGTTCTTAAGGTCTTTACGCTTTGATAGCTCTTTATTTGCAGAGCGGATATAATGAGATCGTATTACATTTGACGATCGTATGACACAAGTGCTGGGTCATACAGATGATAAAAAACAACACTAAACATTAAAAAATCCATGGAATTTATTATGACAACTTTTAATTAAACTCAAAAGTAAAAAATTATATATTTGAAAGGAGATACCATAGGTTCTCTTTTCCGTGCGGGGCGGGGCAGGGGCGGGCCGGTCTCGGAGTCCTCTGCGTCGAGGTCGTGTTCGTGTGGCGGGCGCGGCGGCGGCCGGCTCAGGCACACCTCCACCATCTTCTTGGGCGGCAGCGGTGGAGGCGGAGAGGGGTTCTCCGCCGTTAGCTTCGAGCTTGGCTGCGGCCGCTGACGTACCGCGCTCGTATCCGTTGCCTGGAAACGTTTTAATATTTCGTAAGAGTACATTCACACGACAAATCAGGAGTAAACGATGAAGCCTCGACGAACCTGTCTCTGCAGCCGCGGCGACTTGGGCGTCGGTTCGGGTGGCAGCGTCACCTGCAGCGGACCGTTGAACACGTTCTTCGCCGGTTGGGCGGCCTCCCTCTCCATGGCGATCTCCCTAATCAACTTCTGCTTGGTCTCGTCGATGATCAGCAAGCTCGGATTCGGGAACTCCTGCATGCTCGTGAAGGGGTCATCTTTGAAAGTATCCGAAAAGGGATCTGTGCTATCAAAGGGATCGGTCTCCGCGAAGGGGTCGGACGTGAAAAAGGCCCCGGAAAAGGCGGGCGGCTGTGCGGGCTTGGCGATCGCGACCGAGCCGCCCGATTGTCGCGTCAGTGACGTCATCGTGGTGGGGGGGCCGTAGCCCTCGGCCTTGGCCTCGCTCGTCACCGGCACTATATCGGATAGGAGCGAGTGCGACGGTACGAGGTCTTTGAGCACTTTCTTTGGCGGATTTTTGAGCTCCTGAAAGAAGAGTTTTTTGTCAACGTAAGGTTTACTCCGGCCGGTGCCGAGTGGGTCTAGTTCGGTGAATACGTCGTAAGTGATCGAGGTGGCCGACGTTGCGGGCTGGGTCACCTGTAACACAGGTATTCTCATGACAATAACCGGCGCTGCTCTGCCGCTCGCTCACACTTTGTTAGTACTACGACGCCAGCAACGGGGACGTGGCATGCTTGCAGACGGAAGCGACCGGGGGAGTGTTGGGGCTAAGTTAGTCACATAAGGCGGTTGACGTTCACTACGGAAAGCACAGAGTTCTAGAACGGTTCTAAACATATTGAAACATAGATCGAACAGTGATCAAGTCGTGTGGAACATAACAGTGCACTGGACTAAACTACGGACGGACAAATTGACATATCATGCAGCAGACATCATCCCATAGGAATAAATAGACACACTTTGGGAATTCCATGTATTTATTTATTCCATACACATATACTACACGAGTAGATTGATAGTATATGTTACTTACTGGTGGGTCGGGCAGGTTGTCGACGAGGGAGGCGGACTTGGGTTCGAAGTCACCGACGACGGCGCTCAGGTCGAAGGACATAGTGGAAGGCTTGTTGGGGCTGAAGGCGGCTCTGGCGGGCGTGCTGCGGCCGCGGCTGCTCGCACCCGGCGGAGGCGGCAGCAGACCCTTCTGGAATACAACCATAACACATCGACTCATTGCCACACTGATTTCATTTGAAAAAATTTACATTGAACGACAATTTAAAGTCTGAGTGCACCAAAAAGTGAGTACTTTTCATTATTATTTTCAGTTACTAGGGATTCGCAGTACGAAGTAATAAGTAGAAAGTTGTGAAGCGTATAAAAACTAGAACTAAATGTAATACAATTTATAGTAAACTAACTTTAAACAGATTTCTTTTGACATATTGGTTGTTATATTTTAGTTCATCACTGGCATGTTCCCAACTTACCGGCGAAGGTGCCAAGAAGGAGTCGCCGAAGGGGTCAGTGGAGGGGGTGAGGCCCTCGACCTGTGTCAAACCTCGCCGCAGCGAGCATAGCTCTTGTTCAAGGTCGACCAGCTCCGCTACACCACCCTCCGCCCCGCTCTCACTCCCTTTGGTCGCACCACTCGTCTCCCCCGCTGATGATACACTCTGAAAATATTACATCAAATTATTAACCAAATAGAATTATAAAAATGAGGTGTTATATAGGCCTGCTTTAGATCGCTGGACTGGAAAAATGTAAAACGAGCATACGAACATCTAAGCTCGAGAAAACCGATATTTATGTTTAATACATTGTCAAAGACATAATACAATTGTTTAATACTAATATTATAGTTTATAAAACATCACGCCACGACCCATAGGAGTGTAGTAAAAATAAATGCTTCAATTAATAGTGTTTATATAGTAACTACAGCATATTGCAGTTTACGCCTACTATGTGTACAGTTAGCTGCATAAATATGTAAACATTTACAAAAATTAACAAATTTGTATACGCTTTATGTTAAAAATATACACACAAGTATCCGTTCGTATACATCCGACAATTAATACATCTTAGTGATGAATACGTGCAAACATATTTTTGAAATATGAGGCATAAACAAGTTTCTAAATACAAATATATATTTATTAATGCAGCTGACTGTACATTTTGTAATTACAAATTATTTTATTGAACCGAAGCATGAACACATGGTGCGTCGAACATAAGAGCGGGATAAGGACAGGGAGGAAGATGATAATGAAAATAGTCATTATTTTCGTGAATAAAATCGTGTGAAAACACACTATTTGAATACTGCAACATGCACTGTTAAAACAATGTAACTGCTCACGTAAATAAATGTGAGAATTTATCGATTGATTTATACAACTTGGCATATTAATATCAGCAAATTAATATGAAGAGTATTTTGAAAACACCACCCAGTACTTTTACCCCACTTTACAGTTTGTGGAACACTTTACTAAGAATCTATTGCTTTTTTAGACTTGGACTTTGGCACAGTAATATCAATTTATTTCTAGATGTGTCGAAACTGTTATTAAAATTTTTGTAATTAATACTATACTTGTATGAGGATAGTCCGACACGAGCTCTCTCATTTTTTTAAAGAAAATTCGTTTAATTTTCTTCTCATAATATACTACAAAAAGACAACCAGAATTATTTAAAAGTTAAGCGTTCAATAAACTCGATTTGATTTGAAATTTTATTTTCTTAAAAACAAATTTAGTAGATCTCACCTTATCTCGACTAAAAAATGAAAACTTCGGCGATTGAAGCAACCTTTTTCTGGACATGTTCTATATATTTCACTGTATCACAGACAACGTCACTCACACCACACGTCGGCAAAATGATAGCTTGCTGTTTAATGTATTGACACTCATCATCCCACCATCCGTACAAACAAATTCCTCTAAACCGTTGTCATACTGCTCCCAATACTGTGACGCGACTCAAACACTACAATGTCGAACGTTTCCCTTACGTCATCGTACATCGCCGGTCGGCGCTTGCGTGTAAAATCAAATAGTTTCATTGCCAGCGGTCAATGGAACGAAAACGATTCGAAAACTTCTCAAACTTTGACAAGCAAAATATGATATCATCGGGAAATCTGATGCTAAAGAATATGTTCTATCGTCGTTATTAACTACTCTATATATTTCTGCTGAGTAATAAATCGATTATTATATTACAATACATATATTTTTACCTATAAATTTACAGTTTTCATAGTCTCTCAGGACTATAGAACTCAACTAGGCAAATACTTCTATGGAGTCCTAGGCTAGGTGTGTATTTTTAATTTAGTTACTTGACTGTGGACCTGAGACCAAATTCTCAGTGTAAAACATATTGTTATCTCTATTTTGTCAAAGATAAAGACAAGGATGAATATGTTTTATACAGAGATTTTTGTCTTAAAAACCCACGGTTAGAAGTGTCCTGCAGAAGTTATTGTGACGTTACAAACCATTGGATTGGGTGTATTGGATACAGTCAAAACCTATTATAACATCAGCGAAAGGACTTGTACAGATCAGTCGCAATATCCGATTGTTTTTTAAACCGATATTGTTTAAAAACAACTATCTGTCGACCGCGACTCCGTCCGCGCGTAATTAAAAAAGAACTTAAAAAGTCTATGCGTTCTTTCAGACTATGTTCTATATGTATGCCAAATTTCATCAAGATCCGTTGAGCTATTCCGAAAATACCAGCAAGCAAACATCTATCCATCGAACCACCTAAACATTCGCATTTATAATATTAGATTCAGTTGGGACCTACATATTTTATTTTAAAAACCGATCTGTTTTGTTGTCAGAATTGTAAATACATACCTTAACTTTAGCCTCTGTAGCTGTACTTGTATGTCTAAGAAGACTATTTGTGACAGATTTTCCTTCGAGCTGTTGTTTCGCCATTTCCACTTCTTTTTTCTTAAGTTCAAACACAACTTGGAATAGATCCCTCATAGCTATAACTACCTGTCAGCACACTCAATATGTCAATAACATTCAATATATTTAAATAACGAACGCAGTTATATTTATATACTTGTTAATATTATATAATCTATATTTATAAAATAAAAATTTTATCTATTATATAATAACATACAATTTAATTTGTCAACGCAAAATAGACTTGGTCGTAGTCTCACAGTAAAGTTTTTTCTTTCTTTTTTTTAAATTATTTGGTTTTGTATCACTTTATTTTTCGACAAGTAATTTTAGCTTTTAAATTAAAAGCCTAACTCTACAGTTGTGTTTTCTTAGGGCCCCTACACACTAGATTTTTAATCGGTGTAATGTGCGCACCTCCATACATGCTCAAAGCGCACGATCAAACTATCGAACGACTAAAAGTCTAGTGTGTGGGGACTCTTAATGTAGAATATAATTACACAACCAAGCTAATATTTGAAATAATATGCTGGGTTTAGTTACTTTTTGAATTTTAATTACATGACAACTTACTTGACTAGCTGCTTTATCAGTCTTGATACCGAAGAACCGATGTCCTGTGTCAGGGGACCCAAAAATGTAACCAAATGCTCGGGAGTCCGTCATGTCTTGAGCTATGAATGATATTTTGTGTACCGGATGATGATACAAGGAATCCTGGAAAAAATATTGTGCTAAATAAACTTGTTGTTAACACATTCAGTGCTACATGTAAAATCGCAAGGGTAGTTCGGTGGCATTGAAAGTGTTGATAAGAAAACCCCGAAAAATACCAGTAAAAAACAATTTCTATCCTGTCAGTCAGTAAATTGTTTTAGTTTCATTTCAAATAAAATAAAAAGTTTAAAAACTTTGAAACGCTGCTGACGTATCCTATTCTATAAAGTTAGCAAGTCCGTGAAATATTTGTGTACTTATTAGCAAAGTTGAATGAAGTTTGGAAGGTTACGAGGTCGAGACGAAATTATATATGATACAACGGCTGGTAATAACGATCATTGCTGATTTCACCATACACATCTTATTATCTCATTCTGTTTTTTAAAAAAAACCGTTGGCCGGATAACAAAACAAAAGAATGAGAATAATTTATGAAGGGCAAATGATCTTATTTCCGTATTCATCGTACATTATGCACTGAAGAGATGCGACGTACTTAGTAGCTCCAAAGTTCATGAATATCCTTGTCGCCTTGACGCCGGCCACCGACCGGGGTCAACCGTGTTCTTTATTTATCACACAAATAAAGAACTATATAAATATGGTAAAGAAATCGTTTCTTCTCCAGTTAAATCTATTAAAACGATTTAAAAATAAATTGTATTGAGTTCGTATCTCGATATCGTTGATGGAAACCACCTTCAGCCGACATTAAGATGTTTCGCAACTGTTCGTTTTTCAAAGCCGAGACAGTGCAAGCTGCATTACTTGCTCTAATCACCGGTGATTTTCTAAAAAAGACCAACAAGGCCTGTAGCGCACTGCTGTGAAAACTAATCGGAACCAAAGCGAAACGTAACATTAAAATGCAGCGAAAATGTAACATATAGTTTTCTCCATACATTCAGTTTGGACTAAGCCTGTGCTAAATAATTGGAGCGGGGATCAAAAAATCCCCACTCCAATTATTTCAAAGATTTCATTTCCTCTCAGTTCCGCTTTTGTGGCGTTCTAGACACTAAGAAAAACTGAAATGTCCTTTTCACTTAGCAAGTAAACTTACCCCAGTTTTATCATCGCGCAATCTCAGTCCGTCAATGGCGACATGGACCTGTATCCTCTGTTTGTGTTCTCCGGCAGCGCGGATGGCCATCTTGAGGTCGGCCAGCGCCTCTTGGCACATCCTGTCTCCGCGCGCCTCTGGCACCTCCAACACGCCGATCAGCTTCGCGCGGAACGACACGCCCTCGCCCAGGAACCGGCCGGGCTCGTTCTTGTCTATGGCAAAATTATTCTAAATACAATGACTTGACATGACTCTGAGTGTGGTTAAGTACAATTAAAACAGTAGGGGTGTTTTAATCATACTATATTTCTGAATAATTTACGTAGTAATATTAACATAATATTATCGTTAATCAATATAATTAGGTGTCATAAAACATCTTAGAAAAAGATGAATATTTTTAAAATAAATTATAGGTTATTTTAACACTACAATAGTTAAAAGTACTTGAAAAATATTTCCATTATAAATTATAAAGAAATAAAGAATCAAATAAGAAATTCATTAAATTCTTTCTATTGCTTCGATTAATTATTAGAATTTAAATTGTATACCACAAATTATTTTACGATAATTTATACTGTGTGAAAAAAACATAGCGACATATGTTAGTATGTTAGGAGAAAAAGTTAATTAATTAATAAATATAATGAAATGAGAGTAATAAAATATTTATTTGTATGAATGACACATACAAAACACAAAAACACGTGTACATGAAAAAGCATTCTGAATAGGAAAAAAGCACTGGAATAAGCCAAGCATAAAGACATACAATATTTGATATATTTAATTAAAAAAAAACAGTTACAATAACAATACCTTTGCTGAGAAGGCATTTAGATTCTGTTTTTTTAGGTGTCATTTTTTTCTCTTAATTCTAAACACTCACATCGTGAAACCGACCGTAACGGAGTGATGTGCGAAATAAAACTGAGCAAGGTATGTCCTATTTTGGTTCCTATTTACGGTGCATCATTGCCGCTTTAATTGAATATCCTGTTTTTAAATTTAGTATCTCCTGAGCTGGGGAACGATCCGGCAACCGTTTTGTAACACCCGTGACCTTTTGTTTTAAAGACTACAATTGATCCTTTAATGTAAGGACAATATCAGAAAAACAGAGTAGACAGAGAGACGACAAGATGAAGGAGCTTCCTAGCTTCTCGTGCTTTTACTTCAATAATAAAATCATATTAACACGCTCACTGCAACCGACTCGCCAGGCGTCATCTCTTTCATACGGAATAAATCGTATCATGCAACGTGTTACAGTTTACAGATTAGAATAATAATAATGCCACGTTATGTTATTACAATATCCTTAGAATATCACATATATTAAATCACCGAGTTAGAAAAATAAAGTTCCTTTTTTTTAAATATTGCTGTAGACTGTGCAAAAGTACCCTCGATGTAACCTGTTCAATACGAGGCGAAAAAATCCATAGAAAGAGTGTCCATATTTTGGGAATCAATACGAATCTAATGTGGCTTAAGTCGGTCGAGGCGTTTAGGATACAATATCGTTTTCTTGTAATCCCTTTAACCTACGAACATAAGCTCTAAAAGGCTTGACTTTGAGCGAATTATTGAACCAAAACTAGGAACATTTTAAATTATTTTGTCATATTTTAATCAAGACAATTGTTTGGTTTGTATGGTAGATAGTTACAAATATTAAAACATGTCGTTTGTATAACAGATAAGAGATCAAATAAAGATAAAATTTGGAAAACAAATAATGTTTATTATCACTGTGCCGCGTGAACGGTTTCGGCTCTACTATCATTTATCAGGCTTTTCAATTATGGTGCTTTGTCCACATTTACTGTGGACTATCAGAGAAAAGGTCGACGACCGAAATGATCACCGAGGCCGGACCACGGAGATAAACAAGCATCATACATTAAGACAATAAAATACCTCCTACGTTCATACAAATACTTCATTGTACTTTTGATATACACTCACACACTTACAATTTCAGATATATACAAAACTACAATACATTGTTATATACATGTTATTGAAATGCATATATAAGCGAACAGATGCTCTACGTGAAGGCGATGTACTCACCGAACTGCCGCAAGAGATGCTGGAAATGACACACCTGCATTATTCGATGTACAATCCTATTTACAAAGTGGCGCCCACCGCACGGCACCGCCGCCCCGGGCCTCACAACACACCCTCTGTCCAAAACACCACTAATTATGACATGGCTCTAGCTCGGTCCATCCCCGCGCTGGTTAGCGACAACGACTGGACGTTACGAGGCTAATGTTGCAGCCGAAACATGCACACAACAGAAATTAAATTGCAAATCAAAGGAAAAAAATATAAATAATTCAAAAGCTGGGATTCGTCAACGCATTTATTACATTTAGCTCTAACTAAGAACACCTCATGACCAAGGTAAAATGATGTGAAATATATGAAAACCGTTGAAAGTGAAAATAGCACATCGTAATAGTACGGACTCACATTTACAAGGGCTGGTTTTCTTACGGAGGGTTTGCATTGGAAAGTCAGTCGGTAACTTGTGATTGAACATCGGAAAGTCGACGTCGTTATCGTCGCGTCGATATCACTGAAATATAAAATAAGATCGTACACTGCACATGGCCGTGGTTCTGCACGTACGAACGCTGTCAGAAGACGTACGAAACATTCGATCTTCACGAATTATTGATTTTCAGTGCGCCGTACTAGCCACCCTAGGAACGTTCACGTAACGATTTACATTTCATTGAGATTGAACATTGTAACAATGTCCTCGTTAACGATGTTAATTATTAGCTAGTTGGTTACGTATTACATTTACAATTGTTTCTGTGGGTACAGGAGCACAAGGCACCGGGCGCACGGCCGGCACATGGGCACTAGGCGAGCAGACACGCACACAGGCGCGCGCATCGCCTCTTTCAAGAGGGGTGACCGCACACACGCGCAACTCACGAACCCTTAATCAATATTCGCCCTCGAACACTAGTTTATGCCATTTTTTGTTACTACGAGAATGAAACTGCGTCTTTTAGGTGTACTTTCGAAATTGCAGTCTCCAGACATTAATTACGTAATATGATTATTTGACAAAAGATTCATACAATAATGTAGAGATACAAACTCATTGACTGCTAGAATATGTACTCGATAATTTAGTACATATATAAACTGACTAGTATAATATGACTATTTTATGTTCTTTTAATTATATTACCAGCATAATAATTATATACTTATTATATATGCTGTAAGGTGACTGGATTTTTTATAAAAAAAACATTTTTAAATTTAGGTTGGTAGACATTGTGGTACCAACCAGGATATTCATCTGATGCAAAATTATTACTAGTGAGTTCAGGTCTATAGATGTATGTATGTATGTTTGGATCATATGTAATTCTGTGACATACATGGGAATTGGTGAATGGAAACTTGAAACTATATATATTCATTTTCTTTATTATTATATAAGGTTCCAATTAAAAAAAAATCTTTGTTATTTATTCCACTTATCATTTTTCCTAGAAAAATAAAGGTATGTTGGAGTTGACATGAAACGGAAAAAAAAGAAATATTTTGGTCTTATCAATTCACAGATAACATTTTCTTATTAAAACCTTTTCAATAAGACAATGCCTTGTGATGTGTATTTTTAACAGTTAATATATACAGTTAAGGCCCACAACCACATTAAGGACGTTTATATATTTATATTGTTTCATCATAAATATTTATAAAGAAAATAATTATTTATTTTCATAAAGAAAAACACAAAAACCTTACCTAAATTACCTTACCATATGTTTGACTAAATAAAATTTTATAACTTATAAAGTTGATTTTTACATTTAATTTACATACAAAGAACAAAGTTAAGGATATTTGAGTAATTGGGAATCATTGAATAAAAGAAAGTGAGTGTAAATAGAATGAACATCAAGACTTTTCTTGTATTTTTATAAAACGTGGAGAATAATAAACAAAGGAAGACTATGAATTATCTTCAATGCTACAAACAAACCTGGTCTTGAACTTGATTCTTTGCCTTGAGATAACTTATATATAAACGTACTTATTAAATATTTAAGAATTATTTAGTATCGTACCTGTTTTAAAATTCATCACTATTTATTAAATTACTCAAAGGTATTCATTTACACTTCTCACAAATAAATCAAAAGTGTTTCAGTTTTGTATCGTTAAATCGGTCACTGAATAAACAAGCCTATCACTGAGTGTTTCTATTAATTTTTAAATAATTGATGTGAATTTACTGTATATAACATAATAACACGTAAAATATTGTTTCTGAGCGATTGTTGTATTTAATCATTAAGTAATAAATATATGAATAAGCGTACAACTTTACACTCTATTGCTTCAAAATATATTTGATTTGTTTAACTTTGTTTGACTTAACTGACGTTGACAGTTTGTTTTTCTGAAATCTTTACTCCAGTTCACAGCTTGAAAGTCATACTGCTATCGTTGCTCTGGAAGAATAGTTCTCAGAATTGTATTGGGAATAAAAAAAAACTTTTTTTAAATTGTATATGAATGTAAGCGTCTTCACGAAAAAATCTTGTATTGGTATCTATCTTAACTGTGTCAATATTTTTTAAAACAAAACCAAAAAAAAACAAAACTTATCCTCTGTGGCTGACGCATCTGCCGACTGCCAATTGACCTAAAGGTCTATGTTACCAGGTCATAAAATAAAAAAAATAAAAACCGACTGCCAATGTCAAATGTCAAAATTATTTAATTGTCAATGTCAATTCAAACAACACAGCAACAGAAAAGGCATGCATTTATTGTGTAAATAAATGTGAAGTTAGTAAAATACGTTTAATAAAATGAGTATCCTTTATAAAAGTGAAAATTACTGTGCACTTGATCATCATGGTTACATTTCAAAAACTTACCAGAAAGTAATCATTACACCCGAACAGTTTAAATCTTATGCTCTTACAGGATCAATTTTTTCAATATCTAATAATATTTCAAGCGATGTAAATACCGGAAAGTCTAGAAAACGAAAAAAAGATGCAAATATTATTAATCAAGAGGTGCGAAAAGTGAAATAACTATAATAATTGGTACTTCATTTTTTCGATATATTTTTTTGTATTTAGGCATCATCGGTGCAAGCAAAGTTTAAGAAATTCCTGCAATTAATATCAATAGATGTTATTGAACATTTTAAACATAACTACAGATTTGTAGATACTTCGTCCGTAAGGAACATTGCAAAGAAATATTTTGAATCCACTATTTTCGAATTTTCAAACGTAAGTGGGGGAAATGACTCAAATTTGCCAGTTAAATGTAAAATTAATGATGATTATTTTCTTATACCACAGAATTCACGGTGGGTATAATTTTTATTTATATTTTCAATTCACTATTATATAGCTCAGAATGTCTTGGTCCTAACACAAAATGAGCCACCTTAATCATCTATTTTATAGCTGGTCATAAATTAAGCACATTTTTATATTAGCTAGCCTACAATATCTCTATTATAACCCCTCAACAATAATACTCCACTGATGCAAGTCTCTGACACAAACAAAATGATGGCTAAATGTAATACTCATATAAAATTCTATCTTTCTTTAAGGTTTTTTTGTGGAGAAGTCAAAGATGGTTGTAAAAAACTTCATGGTAATAAATATAATATTGTGATAGCAGATCCTCCTTGGTGGAACAAATTTATAAGAAGGTTGAAAGCTGCAAACTCCAAGTTAAGGTTAGATGATTTACATTCTTCATAATTTTTAGAAGAGGTATGGCAGGTCTACACCAAATGGAATTTTATATCTATGACAACTCTATATAAGAAGTAGATTGGTATTTTAGGGTAATGCATAACACTGTGAAAGCACATTAAAATGTTTGTACTGAATATATTAATTTATTTGATAGTTCTTCTTAAATTAGCTGTCAAGTAGCCTACAGATATAAGTTTATTTGCAGTTATTCTATGATGTATAATGAAGATATAGCAAATATACCAATTAAAAACCTTTTTGCTGATAACTGCCTTGTTGCAGTTTGGTGCACCAACTCACCAAGTAATGTGACTGCATTAAAAGAGGTGATATTCCCTAATTGGGAAGTAGAGTATGTAACAACATGGTATTGGCTCAAAGTGACCAGAGATTTGAAACCACTCTGCGAATTTAACACTGGATGTAATAAACAGCCATATGAGAGAATAATTATAGGAAAGGTTGGTGATGTAAAGAATGTTCCGGAAGATAATTTGATTGTGAGTGTACCAAGTGCTTTACACTCGCACAAACCACCTTTGTTAGGTCAGTAAACTGTCTATATTTATAACATTTAACACATTCAATGCCACTATAATTTTTTATATAAAACTGAATTTGATAGATAAGTCAGTAGCATTAAATGTGTTATGATTGAGATGTTTTTGTTTACGGTATATTTAAAATGGTATTTGTTTACTTTTAATATGTTTGCAGATATTTTATCCTCGTACATAGCACCTGAGGATCCTCAAGCTTTGGAACTATTTGCAAGATATTTACTACCAAATACTACTAGTGTAGGTTATGAACCACTCAAATGGCAACATATTTCACTTTTTGAAGTTTTAGATGAAAACAAAACAGATGTATGTACTCACAATGAGCAAGACTTGACATAATTTATTTTATCAAAAATTATGATGTATGTTTTTTTTATTTAACAATTTAAATATTAAATCATAAATGATTTTAGACAATTGTTCAGAGTTAAACATTAAGATTGAAATGTGTATATGTTATGCATAAGATATAAAAGTAATTAAACATTATTATAAATAATCAATTTTATTATTTTAATATTAATATTTAGCTGTTCCCATTGGCAATAATAACAGTAGTTTTCGTATTTTTGGGATATCCATCCGGATTCATTGTCTGCCATCGCCAGAAATCAGTGCCTGAAATTAATTTAATTACTAAATTAACTCTAATAAGCAACACACAGTGTAGCAACCATTTAAGCTGACTTTCGTTAACTGAATACTTGTTAAAAATTCTAGACACCATGTTCTTGATATTGATTGATAAAGGCTTTTATATTAGGCATTTACCAGTCGTATTATTCCACTGGATCTTTAATACACTAATGAATGATAAAAAAATTAATTTTATTGTACCAGCGTTCTGGACGAGTTTCTGCGACACCCCCTTTTTTTACCATACCTGGTGGAGGGGGGGGGATTTACAGGGCTACGTGAGGGTGTTATTGACACTCCTGTAGCGCCCCTTTCAATTAACCGCCCTGGGCTGTCGCCCGTGCGCTGACCTACCGCTGGTACTGACTTTAGTGTGTTGCAATATAACCCCAATCTAGACGGTGTCATGGTTATCAATATACTAACACATCTCTTCAATAGTGTACTTGGTGGTCCAGCCGAGCTCGTCCCTGGCGAGTGTGGCGTCCGCCCACATAGCAGTGATGTCCCCGAGCCGCCGCGACACATACTGCAGGGGGATCTTGGTGTCCGTCACACGTTCGAACACGTCCACTAGTTCCTTCACTGACACACCCTTGCCTGTCCCCAAGTTGTATACCTGTGTACGAACATATCCATGCTACATTTACACCTTTGATTGTTCACTAGATGAAAAGCGAGTTGATACTTAAGTAAAAGACGAATTAATACGTTCAATGCCACTGGAGTTCAAATAATACATAAAAATCCTACCGGCATTGTATGTGTTAACTTGTAGCTAACTAATGTGAGTACACAGTCGGTCACCAAGTCATCGAAAAGTTTTTTTTTTCAAAAAAATATTTTCAACTCACATGTATTTATACAAACCTTTAAACCGACTTGATTATCATTCAATAGCTTCAATGCAGCGACGTGACCGTTGGCTAAATCCATCACGTGAATGTAGTCACGGATACCTATAAAACAAATAACATTCCTAATATTTTCAATAACATTATTGAAATTAATTAAAGAATATATAAGGTAAATCATCCATTTATTTATACAAGCTGTCGCTTCCAACTTTTAATTTTTTTTTTATAATGCGAAATTAAAAAAATAATAATTAGTAGCCTATGTGATCTTCAAGGCTATGTTCTACATCTGTGCCAAATTTAATCGAGATCTTTTGAGCCGTTATAAAGATATCTTCTAACAACCACCCATCGATCCTTCTAAACTTTCGCATTTATAATATTAGTAAGATTCTATAGTTTTCATTTACTCTTGTTTCGAACTTTCACTCTGGTCTTCAAAAAGTCTTAATAATGTGATTTTAAAAATTATATTAACCCTTACCAGTGCCATCGGGAGTATTGTAATCATTGCCAAACACGGTGAGTACGGGTTTCTTGCCCAAGGCTACTTGGGCCATGAAGGGCATGAGGTTAGTGAACTCCTTGGTGGGGTCCTCGCCAATGAGCCCCGAGGGATGCGCCCCCACCGGGTTGAAGTACCGCAATGATATAATGTTCCATCTCTATACACAAAAAATACATTGGTCTGCGAGAAACGCGAGTTGTACTAGCTTTTTCCTTATACTATTAAGATAATTGAGAAAAGGAAATTGATTCGGAAAGAAAAATCTTTGATTAGAGACCTCAATGAACAGAGAGGCCCTTAAAAAAATACAACTTAAACATAGTATTTTAAAAATTTTAAGCGAATTAAATATCAATCGTGTTCGGAGAATCTTGTCCATCAAAAAAATTGACATCAATTTAATTTTGATACTAGATATATCACGGAAACAAAATATCCTTGACCTTAAGTGATCTACGGAACCGGTATTAATTTGTCGCTTTGGCCTGATTCCAATTCTTTGCCTAAATATTAGCCGATTTGGAAAGCGTCGGAAACTTGTTTGATGAGTAGTTTGATTACTTCATGGCTGGTGACGCCGAAAGTCCTTTTAATTGTAAAAGTAAATCTTATCATTTTATCTCTATTTTTTAATAATCTAGATTTTACAATCTGAACAAATCAAAGACTCGCTAATAACTAAATCCTTTGAAGTAGTATCGACAAAAGAATATGGAAATCTTATTCGTTTTATGCCTTTTTTTGCTTAAGTAAAAGGTAAGACACACGAGCAAAACAAAACCACACTTCGCTAACATAGCGAAGTGATCGCTACCCATAGACAACTCCAATAAGTTAAAAGGTAGTTGACACATTGACCTTTAATAGACAGGATGTACCTTTTCAGCCGCGCTAAGGTCTTTGAGCATCTCTTCGATGAAATACTTGGTCCTGCCGTACACGTTGGTGATCTTCCCAGTGGGGTGTGTCTCGGTGATGGGTAGGTGCTCTGGTTCTCCATACACCGTGCATGATGACGAGAAAACCATTTGATAACAGTTGTGGGACCTCATTACCTATAAAACGAAGAGATAGTCTTACAGATACAATCACAAATATTTTGTATTCTATACAATATTGTTTATGGCGTTTATTCGGTATTTACGGTTTTCATCGCCATAAACGGTACGATATTGTAACCATGTCCATATTTATCTGTCCGATGTTCTGAGATTTCCGGACATAAAAAACAAAGTACCTAGTTTACTTAGTGTGAGTTTCCGTATCCGAATCTCGCGGATTCTCAATGAGATTTGGTACAATGGTTACGGCAGTTAACTTAAAATCACGGAAACGGGTAAAGTCTGTCATTATCGTCACAAAACTATGTCAAGTACTTTATCGCCATGATTCTGGTACAAACATTTCGAGTGTTTATTTGTATGTGCATGGCTTAATCACGTCATATTTCGTGAGTTTTACACAAAATAATCAATTAAAATCTTATAAAGGTCGTAGGATTCACGTAGTCTGTGAGGTCAAAAATACTATTCATCGATTCAATGTTTAATTACATGTACATTTAATTAGCAGAATACATACTACAACTGAATTAAATGCTTATAAAGAAAAAAAACTAAAAATTGCCTTAATATTCATTGTTACTAATTTTCAACATTTTTTACTTTCCGTAATGTTAATATTCGGCAGAGATGTCTAATAAAATATAATTAAAGTTGTAGAGATAAGAAACTGTTATAAAATATTACCTCTAATAAGTTAAGCATTCCCAATAAGTTGTTCTGATAGTAGAGAAGTGGCTGTTGCATTGACTCGCCGACCGCTTTCAAAGCTGCGAAGTGTATGACACAGTCCACTTCATGCTGAAATAATAACAATTTTTAATAAATTTTGCCATAAAAGTGCAATTACGATATAGTAATTATTGTATTTCCTATTAATTTATTTACTAGCTTTCGCACGCATCTCCGTCCGCGCGGAATTAAAAAAAAAAATCTTAATCAGTAGGCTATGTGTTCTTCCAGACTATGTTCTACAACTCTGCAAAACGTCAAGGACATCCATCCATCAATCCGTCCATCCATCCATCTAAACTTTCGCATTTATTATATTTTTAAGAAATAAGATATAAACTTTGTACCTTATCAAAGATGTCATTTATTTGCGGTTTGTCTAGTAAATCGGCTTTGTAGAAGGTGATAGTCTTGCCAGTAATCTGTTCAGCTCGCTGCAACGCGGGGGAGCCTTGGTCGCCACCCACGGCATTTGCGAAGTTGTCTATTGCCACCACTTCGTATCCGGCCTCGAGGAGGTCCACCACGCAGTGACTACCGATGTACCCCGCGCCACCGGTCACCAATATTGTCTTGAATCGCGTCATTGTATGTCCCTTTTCTAAAACATAGTTTAATTTTGTGATAAAAGTAGAAAAAGCCTTTCCTTTTACCCAAACTCCTTACCGATATAATGAACCTAGAGATAGTTCCGAAAATTGTTCAATCGCCTTCTTAACAATACATTGCGTTTTTCATTTACTATTGCGATCTTAACAGCCCGTAATTTGAATTAAATTAATTAAAATTACCGCGGATAAGCTTAAATGGTTCAAGATTAAATCTTAAACGAAATATTACGTATCGAAACCTCTATCCTTTGTGTCGTTACTTAAGTATTTGATGAGTACAGTCACCGACTTATACGTCCTATTCGGATTAGCAAATTTAATATGCAAGCCGCTACTGGGCTGCCGTTCTAAAGCAAAAAACAATGTACCATTTATCCGACGGGTCGGCGGTAACCCTGAAGTATTTGTCACATCCAAATATTGCAGACGGTACAACGCTTCACAGAAACGAGTAATTAATAAACATATGTGATATCTTTGCTTCATACCGATGAAGGGAACATTCAAATTTAATTAGAGAAACAACTAAACATATTGTTCAGTGTATTCATACATATAATAATTACAACAATACAATTGATTTAACAAAATCTTCGAAACTAACAAAACATTTGAAGTTCCTCTAATGAAATGTTTACAAAAATATTATTTAAAACAAAATTAATAAGTAATCAAAGATTACATCGTAAACAAATCATTTTTCCTTAGTGGAATTAGTCACTGATTATTAAAATTTATCGCAAGAATTTTATTGGAATCATGAGTGAAATCATAGTAGGTGGCCATTTTTATCTTTATTTACTGTTGTTTGTAAGGGATAAAAGGGATTTTATTTTACAATGGTTGTGGCACACTTTGATTGTTGCGGTTTCTCCAGCCGCTCCGCTGTTTTTTTCCTAATATTTAATAGCCAGTTTGGTCTTTAAAAAAATATTTAAAGAGAAGTCGATGAAACACGTATTATTAATAAGTAGTACAAAAATGTATAACCTCAGATTCACGAATCAAACGTCATGATTTGATCACACGTATCATCGGTTCAAACTATGTCATCATTTACTTAGCACTAGAACAAGGTTACGTGACGATAGGCAATAACAGGTGGGCCGGATAAGCACTAGAAGGCTGACATAGACTAAATCGTAAATAGAAATTCTCACGTGTAGAAATTTTAACATACTTATTAGGTCTAAACCCTATTTCTCCTCAGAAAAATAGTTATCGTCGTTCAAAAGTATTAACATTTCTTTGAATAATTTATGCATTCCTTTAAATTAGTAAATTGTTAATTTCTTTCCACACGTTTGCTCTACACATGTTGCAAGAAAAAAGATCCACAAAAAACAGTCCGTTTGTGGTAAAAAAAAATGTACGACATTAGCTCCTCAGAAAACAGTGCATCCATTATAAGTAGAGCTAAGCTTGTGTTGCGATGTAGTTTCCAAGTATTATGGTGCTAGTATCTGCTATATTTAATTAATATTATTTGTTAAGTTTCTGGGAAACTACACGAGCTAACTGGAATCGCCCGCTTTGCAAACGGGATCTCTCGGCTACTAAGGTTTTTTATACTTATTTCATATCCTGTCATATAAGGACAATAACCTCAAACATCGTTTTGTATTTTGTTATTTCTTTAAAGCGATAGATGGTCAACTTCGTAAGCAAATCACCGTTAACATACTGATATAAAAATTATATTTGTTAAGTGTTTCCTTTCTTTTGATTATAATTATCATTTAATAAAGAGCTGTAATGTAAATCTTATAAAGTAAGCTTATTGAAAACTTACATATAGATTCCTTTAAATCAGTTGCGATGTTCTAAGTAACAACTTAGAACCTCGTCAAAACAGTGTTTAATAAGCAGCCAGTAGTAATTTAAATAATTTTTAATTGTCATTAAAAATGAGGTTAGGTATAAAATGTTCTAGTCAATTGTTGCAAATTATTGTCTGCTAATGCACCTTTCATCAAATGCCGAAAGCTTCAATGAATAGGATAAGGTTCTAATAGGAATGATTCATGTTCTGATTCATGCTATAAACCCTTGCGAAGTTGAATAAGGATATTAAATAAAATTGTAATAAAAATAAAACTAGTTATACCGACATATTATGATCGCTTAAGTATTCGTTATGTGCTAAGTGAGCTAAGAAACTCTTTATTGCGTAGATTCCCGGGTATAATTATTTTTGTTATTAAAACCGGTAACGGTTTTCCCATGGGTGAATAAGTTCATTTTTATGAGACCATGCTAACAAACTGTTGCGTATTTATAAGAAATACTGCAGCCATCAACATTGTGATGGCAGGGCAACTTCGTTGGAGAGTATAAAGAGAATTTCCCAAAGTAAAATGTGTAACATTTTGAAATAAAGCAAAAAAAAACATGATTTATAATTAAATTAGTCTACTTAAACAGTTACGTGACATATATTCTTTTATTAAACATCGCATCGCTGGGGAGATCAACAAACAAATCAAGCATAACTGTTTTCACACAATACAACCGTTCACTTTTGTCGAACCGTTATCTTATAAACTCACCTATCTGATTTGATTTACCATTAACGTCTTCGCAGTGCACTAACACTGAATTATTTGAAAATAATTAAAATAATTTGTATAGCGGCGTAAGGATGGCGCGCACCGCGGACACGTCTGCCACCGAGAACAACTGAGACGCGACGCGAGTGAGCGCAAACGATGGCGTGATGACCGCTGCGGCGGTGACCACAGCTATTGCAAACTCGCGGAATGCAATCACACCGAAAGATATCACTGAACTTGTACAACGCTAACTTAAATAAGTTATTAATATAAAATATATGGGCAATTGCAATATATTTTACAGCTATCAAATTGACATTAATTATTTATTGGTTTTAACTATTTTTGTTATATTCGTAGACTTATAAAGACTGCTGCACTGGTTATTGACGATTATATAGCAGAAGTTCGTTCATTTCTATGTAAGTGGCGTCCGACACAGCCTCAGGATGACAGTGACCTCGCTCGTCTGCCTTTTCTAAACTAAACGCACAGACTATAGTTACTAACTAAAGTACCGCAAGACGACTTCCATCCGACACTGTTGTTGCCCAGCCATAAAATGTACATTCGTATATCATCTGCAAAATATTAAGTTAATACCTAAATCTCTTAGTGTTTTTGTAACTTGGAACTTTTTAAATACGATAATTTTGGTTGTTCAACGTATTGTACATTTTACAAAGTTATTGAAAGTCCTTGAAGGAGCCAAAGAAGTACCGTACCTTGATCGTTTGCAGTTAATTACTCCGATCATGAGTACAGAATCGCGGCGTGATCGGAAGTTACTATCGGATTACACGTAATCTGATTACTAATTGGGTTTTTATTAAGCTAGTTGTTCACGTATTCTATAACGTTTTCCGGTTGGATTTTTGAAGGCTACAATAACTAATCAGGCTACTGAAAAGATAACTAACAGTATTTTGACAAAATTTGTAAAGTACCAATAAACTAAGGGAAGGCTAAGCACTGGAATAACCTTGAAGTAGGCGACCAATCTTTCAATACGTTTTTATTTGTTGTCATATTAAAAAGAAGAATAGTTTTATCCAAATTAACTTAGGAAGACTTCCGGCTACGAACGGTAATTGAGCAAAAAAATGGTTGTTCCGTTACTCGTTTATCGTGTTAGTGGGTGAAATTTTTGTTAATCATGTTAGTTAACTTTTTTTAGTTTTTGGTAAAGAATCGTGTAGTAATATAGATTGACAGACGAACCATTATTAAATGAGCACTATCACCTACTCTTTAAACGTGGATGGAGTCGTGAGCGACAGCAATAGTAATAAATAAATGAAACAATTTTGGTATAATGAGAATTTATTACACGTAAATCTTAACTGAAGAACTTAAAATTAAAACAAAAACATCCTTCCTGGAAAATTAAAACTTTGTCCATCATAATTCACACTCGACAGGTTTTTTCATATGGCAACATTTTACTGTGACACTTCCATTTGTTGTGGCGCGTCTGAAACAGATACAAAATAAATCGAAATACGAATAGATAAAAAAGAAAAGGTTGACAAATTAAGATCTAGCAGAAGACTAAAATTAATTTTATAAAAAAATACGCACCACCTGCTCCATCATCAAACATGAACTCATCCTGGTATTCCTTCAAGAACTGCTCCGACCTGTGCTCGTCCAGGAACAACGAGTACACTTTCTTTACATCTTCCATGCTCACCTGGATAAATTATACAATAGGAGATTGATTTTCCAACACCCATTTAAGTGGAACGTAAAATTCTATACAACAGTTATTATTACATGCCTATATTTTTGAGTTTTTGTAGAAATTGTGAGATAAAGTAAATTTCATTTCATAAAATACCCTCATTTAGGTATGTTTGTAAAAAAAAATAACTGATTTTTTTAAGCTTAATGTGAAGTTTGTCTATGGTTTATATTTTGTATTGGAAGCAGTTGTACCTCTGTGGCCTTCCTGCGCTTGGCGACGAGTGAGGCTGTGGTGATGAGCTGTATGGCGTATCGCAGCGAGGTCTCCGTGGCCACACGCGTCAACACCGTCAGCGCGTCTCCCGACATCTGACAGTCCTCTTCCTCACATCTGACATAATACAAGTGAAACTGATTTAATCTAACTAGGTAGAAATAAAGAGGCCATAACAAGTCAATATAGTAGCAATGGTATTCATGACAAAAATTGTATTTAAATAAAATTCATCTCTTGGCATTAAAATACCATTTCAAAGAAAAAAGAGAGAACAACAGAGAGAGAGAGAAGAAAGGGAGAGAGAAAGAGAAAGAATACATGCAATTATTCTAAAATAAAATGACAAATGATATTATAGATCTTACTTTTTACTAATATTATAAATGTGAATGTTTGAATGGATGTTTGTTTAAACGTTTGTATATATCTCGCTGAAATTTGGTATATTGGTTTGGAAAAGCACATAGGCTACTATTAAAGTTTTTTTTTAATACCTAGAAAACAGTGTCGCGGGCGACAACCAGTGTGTACAGAAAATTATTTTCTAAGAAAATAAAAAAAAGTAATTTGTTATCACCAACTTGTGTTATGAAGTTACCTAATATTAAGTATCTCCTTCAACTCCTGTTGTGAGTAAGGCGTTGTGGGCACTATGATCATCCTGTCCAACAGATCCAGAGGTATGCCATGCGGGCTCTTATAATTCGTGCCTCTGATCCTGGTGATGCCGCGGTTGGTCGCCATCATCACAATAGGCGCCGTCTCCTGCTCTAACGCGCGGTTCAGGAAAGAGAAGCACTCTATATCTAGCATGTGTGCCTGAAAAGGATGGTTTGATTTATCTGATGTTGCTGTAACTTGACTAGATTCTTACACACTAGAACTTACTTCGTCAATGAAAAGTACTCCAGGTATCATCTCCGCCTTGCCCTCCTCTCTCCACTCCGCTACCTTGCTGTTGATCTGCTCGCGGATTTCAGACTTAATCTCACCCGTATCACCTGAGGAAAGTTTCCAAATTCATTGTCTAACTTTTTAAAAATAGAAAAGTTTTTTTTTTTTACCAGAAGTAAAGCCTGTTTCACATTATGCCAGTACAGTAGTGTAGGACAGTATCACTCAAAATCAGTGCTGGCATAATGCCAACACTTTCTGATTTCTTCAGATTAAAATATTACTTGGGAGAGTATAACTCATATCCATAATTTTTCTATGACATATGAACAATGTGTTGCATATAATGCCTATTATTTATATTTATATGTAGTAAATTATTAGCATACCAGAGAATAAAGCCAGGAATCCATGCGTCCTTGAATTAATGACATCAACCTCATGCAAGGTCACTGTGTGAACAACTTCTTTACGCTTTTGCAACTCTCCTTCTGGACATTGCACAAAGCGAGCTTGGTGACCTGGACACAAAAAACAAATAAACTCAAAACAACTGTTTTGCGACGACATAAGATACTTGAGACGCATCTTTAAGTAGGAGTAGGTACTAACAAATATTGTGGTTGAAATTTGGTATACTTTTTTTTTCAACTTTTAAACAGACCAATAATTATATTGCGACCAATAACTATTAAGTTGCACTAGACATAGATAATGACAGTGATATATACCTGTAGCATCATAATCTCTGGCACGAGCAAAACTTCTGCCGAGTTTGTTTATCTTGCCAGTTGCTTTGTCTATGGTAATTACATCACCTGCTTGTACCTGCAATGATAATATAATGATGACTTTGCCAAATGTCTGATATATCTAGTAAATCATGTTATTATGGTTTTGCGGCTTCTGTGCAGCATCTTACAAGATGCTGCACAGAAGTGCTTAAAGATGCACCAGGGGGAGGGCATTGCCCAATTTATACATTATTATTTTATATAAGTACATATTTTTACCTTTTCTTTAAGTAGAGAGTCAATCATCTTGGTGCCCATGTCATAATTGGTCTCCATGTCAGTTGTCTTGAGAGTGAGCCGACCAACACGAGCACCCCCAGTGCCAACCGCTCTCTCTATTACTACTTCCACCACTTCCCCCTCTATAATCTCTGATTCTTCTCTGAAAATTGAGTTATTGATTTCTTATTGCCACTAAGTATGGTGTTAAAAAGCCTGAATGATAAATATAGATATGCCTTTATTAGACAAAATTATTGTGATCAGGGAAGCCTTACTTGATTCTTATGCCAATTGATTTTCTTATAGCCTGGGTCAATGCTTCTGTTTTACTCATTTCTAAGGAGTAAATTTCTGAACCTGAAAAGATAAACAATAATAATTTAAAGACTTATAAATAAACATAACGGAAAAACTACTATAACTTAGCTAGGTTAATAGCTAACTTAATAGCATGTTTCAGTGTTAATTATAAAATTACAACAGAAAACTTACCAGCCATACTTGTGAATGGTGTGTCAGGACCTAAGGCCTGTGCAAGGCCCATTGCAATAGCCGTCTTCCCAGTTCCAGGTTGACCAGCTAAGAGAACAGCTCGCCCTGCTATTTTTCCTAGATTGCAAGTATTATAGCTTAAGTATTTTATATGATGTAGTTTTACTATTAAATTTGAATTATACTCTCTGATAAAAGCAAATGCACATATGAAAATTACAGATTTTGTCTCGTTTTTATAATAATTGGCTAAAACATAACCTATAAATTTTCGGTTACTATAGTAACTTGTTTGTTTATTCAATAAATACCTTCTCGAATCATTTGTAAAATAACGCCAGCGGCTTTCCTAGCCATCTTCTGGCCCACCATTCCTTGAGATACTGCTCTTGGCTCCAAGGAATCATCTAAACCGAGTCCTCTTATGTGAGAATGAGCGCCAATTCTTTCAATGCGAGTTATGGAACGCACTTCTTGTACTTGGGCTGCTGCAATTGACTGTAACAATAATTTATAATCTGGCTTAGCCCATACGATTGTGGTTCTTAATTTAAAATCATTAAATGATTTTAAAAATAAGGGGTTAGGATAATACTCAAAGGCCTGATTGCTGATGATCATTTTAACTTACCGCCATTTTGATTGTTTATTTTTGTAACTACTAAATTATATTCCCAAAACCTCTATATATTTACTTCTATTCGACTGTATTTAAACTTTATTTTAATTTCGAAGCTATGAAACACTGCGAACCGCGGCGAAAAAACAAAAACACAATGTGTATGACACAAGTGATACAATGCAATGTTGCCATTTATCAATTTCGGAATGTAAGAAGTACGTCAAAGAGTAGATAACGGGTGAACGTAAACTACGCCAATTTTGTAATTTACCTAGACAAATTGTAAGTAATATATAAATTTATTCACTTTCCATCCCTCGAAAGCCGTTTAAAAACTAATAGTACATTTAAAGTTTATTATCACAGATATAAAGGGACTAGATGGTTATAAATGAATGTGACAGACAGTAAAAATAATACAAGAAAATTATTATCAAGCAAAACGTGATCAATGTGAATTATGACGTCAATATCATGCAAGGTCGCCGTGCGAATAACTTCACGACAATATTATGATTTGTATTTATATTTGTTGAGTAAAATTGGGTATCGTTGTATCTAAATAAAAACGATACAAGTACTTTCATTCCAGAGCTCATCGGGAGCTTTTCTTCAGGGTGAGTGGGACTGGTATTAAATGGCGGTCGTGGCCAGTCTCTCATTGACTACTAAGTCTCTTGACTACTAAGTCAAGAGGAGCTCCCGATGGACTCGAAACTAGTCAGTGTCTACTGGATGAAGTGTACGCGAGTGTAGGCGTTTATATTTAGTTATAATAATAAAGTCTCAAGAAAGTTTAAGTAGTTGGGTATCGATGTGTTTGGATGGGAACGAATTATTTCTATTGCCGCAATAAAACTTATGCTTTAATAAAAACAGTTTAATACTTCCTTTGTAATTATTTAAATCAATACTGTCATTTAAAATTAATACATTTTCGTAAATTATTAAGGTATTGGTCACAAATAAATTTAATATTATCGAAACAGATGTCTCTCACCGCTTGCACCCATGCGGATTGATCAGGAGTTTCGTTTTTACAGATAATAAATAAAATCATGTTTGCAGTGTTAGGGTTACTAACGTTTGTAAAAACTTATTACAGACTTTAATAATCCTAAAATATTGAAAAGGAAGTCGGAAATATCGTAATTCGGTCGAATATTAAAACTTATCTTAAAATTATAAATTCAATGCTCGAAATTATTTTTAACACAATATTTAAACATACAATAAATAAATCTATTTTACTATGTCAGATAATTGTAAGCAAATTCAAATGTGTTATCTATTTAATTTAAGTCATTATAAAATATTGCATTAAATTATTTAATACTAATTTGGCATTCATTTAACACTGGCAAGCTGGGCTTTTGGCTTTAAAAAATAAACCTTTGGACAATCAGGAACTTAAAAAGAGTGCAAAAACACACACAATGTAAAAATCGTACGATATCCCTCGTATAACTTATGTAACAATCATATTATGACTAGTCAAACTTAAAATTAATAAAATATAACATTGGTCGTTGTGCCATTTTTTTAAATGTTTTAAATATTTTTCAATTTTTTTAACACTTTTATATTTTCTTCTTCTGTTGTCGATCAAATACAATAAGGACATATAACCATCTTAATTGTATTTAATCGTGCAGAAAATTCGTCGCTATCTGTATTGTCGGTGTCAATTGAAGGCGTATTTTCATCGACCTGCGAACAAAAAGAAAACAATAAGTTAAAGCCTGTCCTGAGAGACAAAAAAAAATCACACGTATATTGCGGAAAAATGTGGAACCAATTTCAGTGCATACATATGAGAAGTTGATATCATAAAGGGGTCGCTTGAAGCGCTCCTAGGACAATTTTTTTTAGAGATAAAATCATAAATTATTGAAAATACTTACTTATCCACTAATTAGTTTTCTTCGTATCCTTGGTCTCCTCCTTTGGCTGTCCCTTGCCGAGCAACTTGGCCAATGAGTCCCAGATGCCGCCCATGAACAGTGCGCAGAACAGATTCTCGAACGGCACGAACGGATCGTGTATGCCCAACAGAATTGATGACAACTGCAAGAAAATGAAGAATTAAAAAAAAACAAAGACCCGACTGACTGACCTCACTTTTCAATTTTTTCAGTTATTTAGGTTACGTCACAATGGAATTGAAATATAATACATACAAATCCGCATAACAAAAAGATTTTACGATTAAAATTTTGTTAATTTCACTTATGTTTATCAAATGTAACTACTTATATTCAGAAGAAATACCTTAAAGTAGACGAAGAATATGACAATGCCGAAATAGACGAGGGCATGAGGCGCTGAGATCAGATCCGTCTTCTTGTCCAGGACAAAGATAACTGAAGCCACCAGAGACGCCTTCGTGTAGCTAAAGTTAAAAAGAAAAATGAATAAACATTTTAATTCATCAAAAAGAACTATATATTAAAAAAAATATTATTAATGTCACTTACAAGCTAGGCTGCATAGTTTCCATAGCGGTGGGGGTCCACGCTCCGCGCACCAAGCGCTCTATCAGCTTAGTAAAGCCAGCACCATTGCCCTTCAGTGTTCCTGCAATTAATAACAAAATAATACGTTAATTTTAGCTTAACGAGTAAAAGTAATAGTTTATTATTTTCTAATTTGTAATTATTACATACCGACAATAACCATAATGATGTAAGCGTTGGGGTAAAGTTTGGCGGCGTGGCTTACACCGTCGTAAACTTTCTTCGCGCGATAGATTTCTTTCATAGCGGCCGCTGTTATCTTCACGGGCAAGAACTTCGCCACTTTATAGCCCACGTCGAAAGGCGTGTAAAATACTAAATACCTGAAAATTTATATTAGGCCTTACAAATATTATATATGTATAATATCAACAATAAGATTCGACTCCGATATTTGCCTACTATCATAACAAATTTTTACTTAAGTATTAAGAAACAAATGAACGAATGATTACCATGTGACTGTCCCAATGAGAAGTTGTGGCGTGTTCTTAAGTGGGGCCAGGATAGGTTCGCCGAGCAGGCCATTCGCCACCATGCCGCCCGCGAAGATAACCAGCATTGTCGACAGCCAGCAAGCCAAGGGATGTTTACGGGAAAACGCTTGAGCCCCTGTTAAAATGTGACAATATATTTGTCGACACCAAAAGCGAGACAGTTATCGTACGATTTTTTTTCACATCGAATAAAACAAGCAAGTCTCTACAATTTCCTCTTGTTGCATAAAACCGATTTCACTTTATTGGTGTAAGAAATCTACAAAGCCTGTCTATTTTGTTTCAAAATATGACTAAAACAGAACCGGCAAGGATGTTTGGGTGTATCTTTGATCAGTTAAGTGTCGAAATGAATAATTTTCTTAGGCAGGGAAATAAAAAACATAGTCTTGTCAATTTCAGGAATGTGAAAGCATTTTAGCATTAGGATATTTACGCTTCGCATCCTTAATTTCGCGCCCTAGAATGTGGCTATGTGCTACTCAAGTTTGGGTATATGGGTAGTTGTACTTAATAAACGGAACATCAACAGGAAGGATGCTGATATGCAGAAAACAGATCAGACGTATATTCTTTGCCACCCGGACGGTCTCTGGGCGGGTTGCTAGCATTATTATAAGTCGGAAAAGTTATTAATTTAGTGGAAAATGTCAGTTGCATGAAAGAATTGCAATGATTTTAATAATGATGCAAGTCTATAAAACAAACTAGTAAATTCAAATTACACAATAACCGGCTCGTTGGTCTAGGGGTATGATTCTCGCTTCGGGTGCGAGAGGTCCCGGGTTCAAATCCCGGACGAGCCCAAGATAAGTTTATTTTTTCTTCACCAATTAATGATTCCTAATTAACGGGTTATTTCTGTTTTTATAGTCTTTCGTTCGACGCACCCAAAAATTCTTTTTGTCCTCTTTTTGTGTTTTAAAAAACTATTTTATTTATGCGCCATCTATCCCCCATAAGGAAAACATGCATGGAGATAATTTTCATACAGTGTATTTTCCAGAAAGTTTCTTATCTAAAACCTAACCTCTCATGATTTAAAAATATCAAATACAATCTAATTTGGTACGTAAATTATCAGATAAATTTAAACAGATAATTTCTTTATTTAAGTAGAATAAGTGGTAAAAAAATCATGAATGGTATTAATTAACTAAGTAATTATTTATTTACTTTAAATGTAAATGCTTCTATTTTAAGTCATATTCTTATCAAATTATAACAAAAAATCAAGGAATGGTTTTTATTATAAGTAAATTGCTATTGACTACTGAGATCCTAAGCTATTACAGTATTTAAGACGCAGGGAACAAATCTATTTTTAAACTGAATCGGTGCTTTTATTTTTGTATAGCGCTGCCTCAGTACAAATTTACTTTCACATAGAAGCTATTTATTATACCAGGATGCGGAAGTTAAATGAATTGGCGGCATTGTTTAAAATAAATCATTTACACTTACCAGATCCTAAATCTTCTCTGACTGCTAAGGCGCACAGTAAAGAATGTGCAACATCAAAATAAGGAAACATTTTCAACTTTATGACCTGGTTGGCCAAATCTAAGAAGGCTTCGGGATCCATGGTGCCTATTTTTTCGCAATCACACTATTTCTAATTAATTTTGGTACAATTTAACACCGACAATAAAGCGACACGAAATAACCGTGTCTGCGACTATTCGCGGGCGTTGTAGCCGCGAGACTGGCGGGGCAAGTTGGCGAGGGACGAATAGATCGAATGGAATATAATTTTAATGACCGCTTTCCCTTTTTCTTATATTTTTTCAGTTGCACAAGCAAGCAGCTCTTATTATTATTGAAGGTTATGTTTTAATGTGACATATCACCGCATAAAATCTGTCAATAATTTATTTTCATTTTAGTCTTTCTGTAATCAATTCTACAATTGCATCTCCGGCATTGAGTTTCCGTAGTGTAGCGGTTATCACGTGTGCTTCACACGCACAAGGTCCCCGGTTCGATCCCGGGCGGAAACAGCATTTTATTTTATTTGAGTCTTATTTTTATTTGCAACACAGAACATATACAACTATTTTTAATTGTTTATTGTATTGTGTTTTAACAATAACTCTCCTTGCCTTAACAGAAACACTAATAATGATTTTTATTTGTAAATTTTAATGGAGCTTTGTAACTTTGAAACCTGTCAGAATTTATTACAATTTATGTTTCTTGTAAATGATAAATATAGAATCATATAAATACACTTCAAATAAAAAATGTACAGTCTGCTCGATTTTAATTTTCCACATTGTAATAGTGATGTAATTTTTTAAAAAAGAAATTTTGATTACTATGTAGTCAACAACCTTTTTCCTTATATCGTGCGGGTTATAATAAATAAAAAGTCGTTAATTATAATATTTTATATTTAGAATATACAACAATGCCTTGCAAATAATATAAAGTTATAAAACCTATATCTATAGGAAATGTATAATGTGGACCATTTAAGCATACATAAATAAGGACGACTTGCACATAATTTCTCTTCAGTCTTCGTTTATTCGAAACACAGCCAAATAACTTTGGGAAAAGATGCGAAGAATATAAATAAATTTAAAATGTCTTAACACTAAAGAAATTATAAACAAACATACAAAAAAACACACAACATTGAAGGCACATTTGGACGCTGCATATGTGAGAATAAAAAAGTTTTTCATATTAAAAAATTACTCTACTTTTTTAAATATTTTTACTGTATGTAATGCTATTAATTTAAATAAAAAAAATATAAGAGATTCGCTGAATTTCGCAGAACACAATGTTAGGTATAGTGGGACGTAGAGGAACGTGGATTGAGGACATTACGAAGCTCAAGGTCAGCCGACAAAATGGTTAACACGCTCTGGCTATTTATTCAAGAAAATAAATATACACTCATATGGCATTATTTTTATAATGATTGATTCTAGGAACATAAAAGTTCAGTGAGAGCTTAAAATGTTTTATAGAAAACTTAAAATAAACTTAAGATTAAGAATAGGAACACCAAAGTTAAATATAATATGTCTAACATAGATTAACATTGACATAGCCTTAAAAAATCGACTTAACTAATAAAATGAGTATGAAAAATGAGCCAATAATTAACCTTTAAAAAAATTTTATAAAAAAAAGTTCAATGCGACCGTTAAATTGCTGAAATTATGCATTATAACATATTGTCATCTCCATTTATTCAATAAGAATGAGAGGGAAGGAACATATTTTGATATGTACAAATATTTGAGCAGTGAATACACACAGTAAAAATATAAAAGCACATTATTTGGACAGATGTTAAGGACGTATGAAGAAACAAACATTATAAGCATTTCGTGATAACCAATGCTTGATAAGCCACAATTACTATTCTTAAATATAATATAAACTACGTCAGTTTGTAATCCCACTAGTCATTTTAAAAACTAACTATTCGTGAACATGGTTGTCAATTTATTATATGTTCTAGAATTTTTTGGTTGATTTTAAAATTATCAAAACACAAATAAATGTCGATTTCATTGAAACTTTAAACCAAATCCAATTCAGTGTTTTTTTAAGAATCATTTGATTTACAGTCTTTTAAAAGGTTTTTTTGCTCATTAATGTTGTTAATTTCTGAAGTTACTACACAATATTCCATTAATCGTTGCCAAATCCCAATAATATTTAGTAAAAAATTACTCTTACATAGTAAAATGTAAAATCTTTCCCGCATCAAGGATTTCAAGGGCTTTTGTTGGATGATTTTATCTGGCATTCTGTAATTGAAAACAAAATAATATTAAAACATAGACATATCAGAGCATAGAGGTGAAACTAAAAATGCCTCCATAAGCTTTTTGTTGAGGTAAATTTCCCCAGTGTTGTTTACAATACACAATGACATTTTCAAAATTAACTCTCGATTAAACGTCAAATTTGTGTGAAACTCTTCATCTTTATATCACAGAGTATACAGTCTATAAATTAATTAAACATTTACTTAATAGTCAAATATTATAAAATATAATATATTTACCTTTATCTGAACTCAGTGTGGTGTACAATTTCTTACCATTCGCTGCAACAAAACATTAATATAGTTAATAACTTTCCTTCTGATTATAATAATGTGTATTTTTCGTAAAAAAAAAACACACATATATGATTTTTTTCTAATGCATTTTTATATTTTGAAAAGATTTTTATTGGATAAGAATTAGTTTGACTTAATTAAAATGTAATTTTTATTACTCTAGAGATTGTATCTAGCATCTTAATTTATATTTACTTACTGCAATAAAAATAATGTTACTAATATTGTTATGCAAGTTTAGATTGAAGGATGGATGGATGTTTGTTAGAAGGTATCTCCAAAACAGCACAATGAATCTTGATGCAATTTAGCACAGATATAGAACTTATTCTGGAAAAACACGTAGACTACACAATTTTTTTTTAATTGCGCAAGGATGGAGTCGCGAGCGACAGCTAGTATACAAGAGATACACTTACCCATACCAGGCTTATGCGTCGAAAGCTCTTCTTTATTATTGTGCTGAATGCTTCTTTCACTCTGAAGTAATCGAAAACTTACATCCTTTTCCGCCATTTCTGATGACATTAAATTATTCTCTTCACATCTATCCTCGTTTGTCGCAGAATCTCTATGGTTCAACTTGTCTATGTTATTTTCATTGTTTGGCGTATTACTTTGACAGCTGTCATTTTGATGTTTATTCTTATTGGAGACGTCATTTTGAATCTCTTCTTGCTCAGAATCAGCATCGTCAGCGGACTGGTCGCTTTTTGCGCTCATTGGATTGGTCAACTGGAATACAAAAACATTTTTATGTATGTATTTTTAGACATTATTATTTAAAATCATTTGGCGCTAGTGGCGGGCTTTCGTTACAAAGTCAAGTGTCAGAGTGATTAGTGAGGGGATATAAACGTTAACATTTTAATAAGATTAGTGTTGCGGCGATACACCGGTACAGTGTCGTATTTCCTTCCTAACAGTATGACACATATTTATGTATATGGAATTTTTCTTACATTCATAGTAGAATTATAGGTCAGAATTTAAAATTACTGTAAATATCTGAAATATAATAAAAATATACTGTCACTACTGTGGCAAAAAATGTTCAAATATGTATTATTTCGGCGTTACAAATGTTTTCAAAAGGTAAACAAAATTGATTTAGTATGTTTTGTTTTGTTTCGTGATATTATTAATTTTCTTACTGTGTAGCTGGAGTCATCATCAGAGTCAGCTTGCAGATCGACTATCATTTTCTCAATGAGCCTCTCCATAGTCGTCTCGCTGGTAGAGGCCACCAGACTAGCTTCCTGTGTGCCATGCTTGTTGCGTTTCACCACCTTAAATAAAGATTACATATTTTATTTACAAACAAATCGGTACAAATCGATATAGACTTAACATGACATATATTAATGAAAAATGCAGTTTAATCAATTTGGATAATTAAAGAATTAAAAAGCGTAAGAAAAGGCTACTTATTCTCTAGGATTATTAATCTAATAGATAACAGTTTAAAAATCAATAAAACCTCTTTACTGAATCTTTCTTCAGGCTACATTAAGAAAAAAAAAAACAATTCTTAAAATGCTGTTACCAGGACTTCATCATTGTTGCTGACTCGCGTTGTATTATTATTATCATAGTTGTGTCGACGTCGGAAGCACATTGTGAACTCGAATAGCGATTGCACACTGCTGCACCAGGAGGTCGGCTGCGCGGTGCTACGCGCGCGCATCGCTCTGCTACCCTGGTACTTCAGAGTTCGAAGGTAGCGACGCTTGCCTTGGACATATGTGACCTAGTAAATGTTAGTTTCGTTTTAGTATATTTTATTAGAAAACTGATAAAAAAAATGATTACCATTACCTCTTTATATGTCGTAAGAACATCAAAAACATTTCGAATTTAAAAAAATAACCATAAAGTAACAAGGTCTAGGCAGTTTTATCAATGCGGTTTAAGGGATTGAAAATTCACACACAATTTGATTTCCAACAAGTGAGAAATGGAAACTAAATATTACATCTCCTTACCACATCAGCTGATCTCAAAGGCGGTTTGCCCAATACCAAGTTGATAAGAGAGATTGACTCCCTAGTGACTCTGAGTACAACAAGCAGCATCAGGAAGAACACCCAGGGTAAGGGACGAATTAATTCTGGCTGTGGACGTTCATCTTGATCCACTGAAATCAAACGTAATAACGAACTTCAGGTGTTTATACTTTGGTTCCACTACTAAGCTCTTTAAAAAGACTGGTTATAAGACGAACTATTTTGTGTCCACTTGATTTTCGCCATTATGCCTCTGATTTAGCGGTGGTGCGGATTCGAACTAATAATTTAGATAGAATTAACTGTCAATTAAGCAAAAGCTGTCATTTTCAACTAATCGCCTATCCATTAAAATAGATCAGTGGTTTTCATTAATCATAAAACATTTTAACTGTCATCGGCCGATAAACGGCTTCTAATGTCCTGAAGGTTTTAAAGCCATAAAAGGAAAAAAATATTTACAGGGTGGGGGCACAGCCCATCGTGCGGTCTTCTCTATGGTCCACAGCAGTCTGTCGGCCTGACGGAGCACACTTTGTCCGAGTCGGTAGCTGGCTGCGTATTCCGCTACACTGTGTAGCATCTCCTGGATAAATCCTAACACCTCCATGGTTTCGATTTAGTTGTGGCACAGCTTGAAAGCTGAGAAACGCAATCTTAAATGTTTCGACTGTTGATCATCACCGCAATCAATATCTTACAGCTGGAAAAAAATATGAAACTTATTAATTTTTCATTCAATATAATAAATTATTCAATTTTAAACTACGAAGAACTGGTTATTATCGGAATTGGAAAAAATTAAATGACAAATGTTATTACCGAAGTAGTGGTTTCCCGCGACTTCGTCAGCGCAGAATAAAAACAAACATCCTAAGTTACTCCCGGACAAAGCTACCTACCAATAAAAATCATGTCAAAATCGGTCCAGCCGATTCAGATATCACCCGGAACAAACGCAGATTTGCATATATTAATTAAAAAAAAATCGCATTACAAATAACGCAAAGAAATCATATTCGAATATATTTTTTTTTCGATATTACAGACACTACATTTTTATTAAATGATTGCGTGTAACTTAGAGGTTGAAAAGAAAACAATAATCAACAATTTAAAGATAATATTATAAATGAATTCAATAATACACAATAAGTACCAACTATAACTTAACAAAACAAATAAGATAACATACCACAGTACAAAAAGTCACTTATGAAGCTTTAGATATTTACTGGACACTTAAATTAAATAGTATTTGCGTAAAATTGAATATTGCTCACAACTCATATGCGTGTTCGACGAAGAAAAAAACCGAGAGTGCATCGTTATCAATAATTTTCACTCTAATAATTTAACAGGGTTACCACTTTATAATAAATAAAAATAAATTAAAAGTATACGAAAAAAAGTAATTTTAAAACGTAATAAGTCACAATGACTTCACAATAGTAAATACTGCTTCTTAACTATTGTTATAAATAAGATACTTTATAAAACTCCAGGCTTTTGAGTCTACACATGGACAAATCACATAAGAAAATCAAAATGTAGTTTTATTATTTCTTCATTTATAATATTTAAAATACTCACTATTATTCAATATCTTTGATCAATAATACAGTACGTAAAAACTCGTATAGCGACTTGGTAGTGTGCATTAAATGCGAGCATACGGCACAACTGACGCGGCAAAGGGCTCAAAGTACTCGCAGCCACTTACCGAATGAATGACTCGATTTGATAATAACAAGTTTATCGTTTACCTATCATTTGTACACATTGTCGTGCGATTTACTTATTTGAGGAGCAAAGGTTGAACGTTAGTGTACATAATCGGTACGCGAGTACTGGATTCGATTCTTGAAATTTTAACGATTCGATTTTATGATCAAAACTTTAAACTGGGTCAAACCATGTTAACACGTTCAATACTATTGCATTTTTACGTATGAAAGTCGACTTTCAAGTGGCATTGAAAATGTTAAAATTGGTTTTTTTTTCAAATTGATGTACTGCAAAAATATTTTTCCGTCTTTTCTTCTTTTTTTCGTTTACAAAAATTAGTCAAATGAAGTACTTTATGACAGTCGAGGTACAGTGCACTAGGAAAAAAAATCAAAACCTAAATTACATTGTTGAATATTCAAACAACCCTAGTCAAGGCACTAATGAGTGCAGGAGCAGACATAAATATGTCGTTTTGACTTCTTTATACCTCGTTGATAATATGAGTAGCAAGGGGCATAGGTCGTTGCAATCATACAGAGATATCACCAAAGGAACATAATATACTAAATGTAATTAATAAACACCATTCAAATATATACTGCATCGCACACCTCGACTGTTATTCACATTTTACGTAACAAAAAACTGTCGTCATTGAAATTAAAATATGACTTATGATTTGAACGACCTTTTTTATGCAAATTTATTTGAATATATTAGTAATGAAACATTTGTTCGTAATGAACAAACTCTGAATCTTCGGAATGTTTGAAATAAAATTATTGACCTAATAAGTATATATTTCCACTTATGCCTCATATTGAAATTTGTCCATGCAATACTGAAAATAAATAGCCACTTATTATATAATAATATATACAGACCAGCAAATCGCTTTAGGTTTACCATATTAGTTAGATTTTATAACAGATAATTATCAATGAAAACATTAATTCCTTTAGTAATTACTACATTTATTTACTTCTCCCAAAATATTTTTTAATCAACATCTTTTTTATCATGATTTTATTAAAAAAAGAAATACAAAATTTTCCTGTCCATAATTCAAGGTCATGTTACACAAAATTATAAGTTAATGGGATTGTAACTTGATAATTGCCAAAATAAAAAATATTTGCAGGATTAACTTATACTGTAAAAACAGTATCTATTACCTAGTTATTTATCACACCTTGACCAAGTCAGAGGCCAAAGTTGTTATGGTAATATTAACACTTTGAAATAACACGGTCTGCTGGAAGCAATATAATTTTTTTCCATAATTACTTCGAGTTTTGGGTAAAAATACTTTGATATATGGAAAATATCAATTTATACATTTTTAAAATATGGCCTACTGGAGTATTTAAGCTATGAGTGGAAAATAAATGTTCAAAGTTCAGGAATTAAGTACTCAAAAAACATCAAAAAGAAACCATGAGATTAAAAAAATTCCTAGTGATCCACAAAAGATGTATCTAATAAATTTTTTGAAATGAACTTAACAAGAAAAGGTAATACTTTCATCATCATCATCATCAGCTCACTTTACATCCCCACCGAGGGGCTAGGAGTTTACCCTAAGTTAAGGGTGATACTACTGGTGGTAATACTTTACAATAAAAAATTATGCCGCATTTCCATAAAGTTAATCTCAAATAATTGGAATTTTTTTTGGGGGTCATAATTAATTTTGAGGTTGTTACAATAGGCTTTCAACATGTTAAATAATTAGTTAGGTTAGGTTTGGATATCTATCTATTATAAAAATTAGGTTATTACAAAAATTGTGTGTGTTAACATACCCATATATGCAAAAGGATAACGCAATTTTATTTTTTTACCCAAGTAAATGTGTACAATAAAAAGTTTTGCTCAAGAAAATATGTAATTCTAAATTATACTTATTTTTATATAAAATTAAAAACATTTACTACTAATTTCAATGTTAACTAACAATAAAAAACATAAAAGCGAGATTGAAAAATATATTTTACTAACTATTATAGAAATGTTAAACACCGGCATTTTAGTTCCATGCGTTACACGTAGAAGAACTACTAAATTAAAAAGAAAATTTAAATGTTTACTGTAAGCAAACTTCTAAAACAGTGCAAAAATTCAATAAGGAATAGATAATTGATTGAAATCAAGTTATAAATCTCACCTATTCACTTGTTGCGTGAACTGCTTTCTCGAAAAATATCTTAATGCATGTGTTATGTAAATAAGCTAAATGTAATTAGATCCGAACAAAGCGAGATATACGCAAAATTTACGAATGTATGCAAAATTAAAACTGCAAAGCAAATTATAGAAAATCGTCTACACTCTTCATACAATGTAAAATCCAAAGATTAAGTAAATAAACATTTTTGAAAAATGACACAAAATGTCAAAGATTTCCACAGAAGATAAAGCTTGAACGTGCTTGAACGTAAGGTTGACCTTAAAATTATCTCATAAATTGTAGTGAAACCCTAGGAATATGCGTAGGTTATACCTATTGGGAAAGTAATAAAAATACCTTTTTTCTCCATTGTCATATTATAATTGGTGAGTTCCTAAGAACAACAATTTCGAAGCACTCTTCACTATTTGAAGTATTGCTTCTTGTTTTATGTAAGAAAATAGGTACCCTTTGTAATGCCATAATCTTCGTACAACAGTCGAGCGCAAATTTCAACAGTTTCAACCATTTAACTTGCATTAAACCTTCATTTTCTTCATTGTGCAAATTAATTATCTGTAGTGGCGACTCACTCGCGCCAAGCAGTTTTACCATACTCAATACTACTATATCAATCAATAGAAAAAAGAGTATATAAAATAAGAGACGGGACTCTTGACTAATTAGATACACAAACGGAGAATAAAAATTGACATTTTCAATGCTAGCAATATTATGAACAAGTCTACGTTGCTACCAACCTAAAAAAATCAATCTGTCAATTTCCGTTTTGACGTTTGAAAGTATTATTCGAGGGAAAACAATTTTGGAAAAATAAAACAATTTCGTTAATTGCAACTTTATTTAATCTTCTGACTAAAGCGAACATATTTTAAGAACGCAACATAATGCTCATTGCTTTCGTAATAATACCATTATTGTTTAGTTCACCAACAAAATACCCCAACTTTGATAAATGCTTATTTGTTCCAGTTTGTTTATTTGATAGATCATATTTTCTGATAGAACTGGAGTAGTAGTGCCACTCTTGTCTTGAGAAAAAGAATAACACTGGAAAGAGATTAGCTTCTCTCT